TGTGAATAGTCGGAACATCATTGTGGACAACAATAACGTCAAGGTGGGGGTGAAACCCCATCTATCTATTAATAATGTAATTGATGTGAATAATGAACGTGATGGTAACGATAGTGGAATCACTATAGGTAGTGCTGTTTCTTCGGTTGATGTTGCTAATGTAGCTTCTTTGAGTACTTCGGATCAAGACGAAATTGGATGTTTCAGCGTGAAGAAGGTAGGCGTCGGTGGCAATAGCTTAAGCCACAGTGATGGCAGTACTGTGAGGGCTAACATTCGGTACCCTAGGTGCAATGAGGAGTCATCTAGGTTTCATGGACATGCTGTTGTGTTGAATATGCAGCATGAGGAATCGAGCATGGAATTGTCCACCTGTCGCACTCCACCATCATTGACTTGTACTACAAGTATCGGGATGAGCACTATCAACAGTGATAAGATAGATGGGGTTAAGAGCATTCCTAGTAAAGAAGACAATGTTGATCGAGTAGAGTTAGCCACTGTGCATGAGTCCACTGGATATCATGAGAAGTGTACTGCTGCTTGTACAGCTGCGGCTACTAACGATAATAGCATTGATGATACTCCTGCGAGTAATAGTGATCGAGGGGAGTTGAAAGACACTCATCGTCGTCGAAATGATCGTACGTTACGCTCACATACTGCTACCCAAGCTAAGAAGCATAAGAAACAACATGATGCTACTATTATTAAGAAGCATAAACTTCGTTCTCTTTTGGATGCTATGACTAGCAATGGAAATAGTAGTCATCGGAATCTTAGTAGTGACAGCGATAGTAAGGAGACAGAAAGTGTGAGCAGTCCACCTAAAGTGACTAGTCGATCAACTTCATCGAACGAACCTTCTAGTGTTTTGACGTCATCGGACCTTGTCGCGAATGTTAAGTTGATTGTTGATACACAATGTTGTGTAACTGTCAGTGTTCCTACTTCGGCTGACTGTCAGTCGAGTGATGATGAGAAGGAAGCGTCTGATGGTAAAAGTCAGTCTACAGTGTTGCACGATAACGATGCTATTGATGTGCATATGTCGTGTGTCTCTGAAACGGAACATGAAGAACAACAAGTGAGATTATCGGTTCATGTAGAGAGATGAGTTATACAACAATGGAAGAGTTTCACTCTACGGATGCTAGTGCAGACCGAAACGACGCTACCTGTCTGACACAACGAAATCAGGATGACGATGATGATAATCTGGATGTCACTGATGTGACAAATGAGTTGCCGACGATGACGAATGCTGACCAAACCTCCTCTGTATCAGAAGATGGAGAGTCAGATATTGGTCCCATGTTATGCCACTCAGAGTCTTCGGGAGACGAGGAAATATCAAAATTGGAAATCCCACCCTTGCATATTATCTATGGGTCAAGAACTTCTGTTGATAAGTCAGCATCACTGACTTCATTGTATCTCCCGTTCGGAGCAAGTGGTGGTGGATTGACGACTCATCACCATGATATGGAATGTAATTCCCGGATAGGATATGACCGGCTTTACGACGTGTTGTACATGTTCATGTGGGTTAATTGGATAAGGTTTATACTACCGTCAGGTCATGCTACGATAGATAGGGGAATCAAGGGCCTGATGGGAAGGTACAGGTACCTAGTTAGCTTGATGGGTCATATCCATGTTGGAGGGCGGGTAGGCGTACTGCTGTAAGTCCTACTCGTTCTTCCGGTGTGGATTAGGGGATGAGAGGGAACCCTAAATTGAATTGTCAGAAAGGGCTTGTTTTGCATGGAGGGATTTTGCGGGCCGGTGTAGAATCTTTTTTGAATGTTTTGTTTTTTGGAAAATCCCTCCATGTTTATATATTTGTGTTATGATTTGACTGACTAATTCTGTTGACATTTTGGTACTCTATTTGATTCCATTTTGAGATTTTATCATTGTATATTGTTATTATTTCTATATTTTGTACTTATATTGAAGTTTTTATGTTTGCTTCTGAACTGTACATATGTTGTTTAAATTTGATATTTAATATGGCTACAGCCAGTTTGGATTTGATACCGTAGCAAATCGGACTGGAAGCACTTATTCTTCCAGAAACGGATACCCACCAGGGTAAATTGGATTTGGAAGGTGTAATAATCGTTGGGTAATTGTCTGTATTTCAATTTTATATTAAATAAAGACCTGTTTCCCCCAGAATTATTGTGTTTTTGGTATTGGATCTGGGACATCGAGTACCAACCTGCACCTATTGGAAACGGAGTGAACTGCTGGGGTAGAATGTCCATCCATATTAGACTTATTCCCCTGTGATTGTCTCAAGATTACTTCTGTACTTTCTTATAGATTGGGATAATCATTGTTCGAGTCCAGTCGGATGGGATTACGTCCAGTTCCCAGATTCTACCTAAGATCTCTGTCATCGTAGCAGCTAAAACCTGACCACCTTATTTAAATATCCCAGGGGCAATCTATCAGGACCGGCTGTTCGCCATCGCTTCGGATTTCTTACCGCTTTCCAAACTTCATATAGATTCGGAGGACTTAAATCGTTGGGCCTGCATCGACTTGCCATCCAGGATGACTTGAGATCGTAGTGAACCAAATAGTTGCCTACTGTTGCCCATCGCCACTGCGTTTTCATTACCTCTGCTTTCGACACCCATCCCTTTAACAATCTGCTTTTAGGCTGTTTATTAGCCTGTGCTTAAACTGACGTAGCTATTCATCATGTTCAGAGCTAGATGGAATGAGTTTACGAGAGTCTCTCAGTTCGTTGGATGCTGCTGAAATCCACATCTTCTTCCTAGCCTTATGGTTTACCTTACTAGAAGATATCATTACTGTTTCCACAGCCTTTTTGATATCATTCCAAGCTGCTTCAGGGTGGGTATCACTTACTACCCGGCGCCTAACTGTTTTTCTAGTTGTTGTTGAAATATATTCAAAGCTATACTACCATTAGTTAGAGTCCCAAGAGGTTCCCTAACTGTGTTTTTCCTATATCCGCCAACTCGCAAGCAAATACGCACTCGCATCAGCTCATGATCTGAATCAAGACAGGTGCCTCAGAACGAGTGACAATCGTCTATCGAACCCCTCCATCGGTGGCTGGTTGCGATGTGATCTAGTTGGGTCCAGCGTTAGATCAGCTTTGGGGGTCGCTAGGTCAAAAGATCCTCTCCCTTATGTCTCACGTTAGTGTTTGCTAAAAATAGGTGGTTATCTGAGCATATTTACAACAGAAGATCGCCATTATCTGTTCTCTGAGCCGCGACACCATTAGATCCACCAGGATGTCTTTCCTTCTCATTTAGTCTACCTCACTTGACCATTAAAGTCTCCAGCCATTATTACTATATCACAGTGCCTAGCTTCCTTCAAAACTCATCTTCCACCTAGTCTGAACTGCAATCAGTCGGAGCGTAGGCAGGTACGACGAAGAGGCAATGGTGAATATAACTATCCTTCCGTGTACGTACCGTCCCATTTAGTCGGACAGCGCACAAAAGACTGTCTGTCAAGAATCACTCTAAGAGATCTAGTTCTGCCCTAGGACTTAATACTATACCAACGCCGGTGAGACCGCGAGAAGCGGTATCAGGGCTTCAGGAAACACGAAGCATAAATGGTGTTGTCCCTCCTTGCACTAGGTGATATCAAACTGATTTTACTTAGATCTTGTATGCGCTTTTCGGAGACACATCATACATCGTTCACCCGGGATTCCAGAATTCTACCTAATGAAGCCTATTGCTCTATTCGGCATAGGATTCGAAGATCAAAAGCTCCAACATGTAATTTAGTACGGGGTTTCAGGAGACCAGAACTAATGTTTCGTGAACTCAAATCGCATTTTTCAGTGACGCGGTCTGATAAACTATTGAAAGAAAGGTTGGTCGCAGAGATTAGAGAGTTATTAGGAGGTGCAGAAGGGATTTGATTGTGGCCAATTCGGTCTCGTATGCTTTTTGGTTATGAGGGCGGATGTAACTTCCTGGGTTCACATACCGTGGAAGTAATATAGCGAATAGAATAATATACTACTTCGCGGGACAACAGATGTTAAAACCGTTACTCTAGACACACAAACAACTTAAGCCTTCCACGGAAGACTGCTTACCAATGTCTTCGGTGTAGGCCTAATAACCACACGGAGCCTGGATCCAACATATGGCTACAAAAGGGATGCAGTCAAGACTAAGACAACTTGACGGAATCGTCCAACAACCCTTTTTAATTCTCTTTAGAACATGCGCACTGACATACCTCTAAGTTTACAAAATCATCGCACCATCTCTTCTTAAAAGAGACATTGATCTACTCAAGTGAGTGCAAAGATGAGTAACTACATGAGTAAAAATGTTGAAGAACAAACCTTACCAAAACAGACTTCAATACTAGGTACTTTTCCAGTGGATTTCTAAAAAAGTCGGAGGTGATCTCATTATGTCATACAACATATTAAGTACTAATAAACCTCCTAACACAAGCATCTTGTAGAAGCATCAAAAGCAAACCCTTCTAGATAACACCAGAAAAATTGCATATCAAAGAAGGAACACTCAATTACTCTCCCACGTTTTCTTATAAAGAGTTGTCCCAACCTGGACTGCTCTCTCAGCAATACCTCTCACAGTGAAAAGCTCTAAAAAGAGACTTGATATACAAGTACTTATCTACGAATTATCATCTCTCACTTGGGTCAGCTGAGCCTTCTGTATGTCTCAAAACTTGCCTGTTCTTATTATTATCAACTCCGTAGATCAATAACTTATGATATCTCGCTACCCTACTGTCCTCAGACAAACGTACTTGCTAACATCACGGGACACACAAATCCATAAATAACTGCTAAATGATTAGGATAAATACAGCCGAATGGCTAGACTACCATCCATTGTACATCAACAGATACCTGGAAGAAAAGGCGAGTTCAAAGAAGTCAACTGGTTTATATTTGCTCGTGAATAAGATATTGGATATTGGAACTGACATTGGACATTGCATTGTTTGTCCTAGTGACATAGGACGGTGTTAGTTCGAACGACGTCTGATGATAATTTGTCAAACTCTATCCTCGGAGTTTTTCCATAATAATGAATACTTTCTAATTGATATCCTAGATAATTATATATGTTACACATCTAAAAGTGCTCCCGATAAGGTTTGTTCTGCCTTTATTGAAGACTTGCCGTTGGTGAGCTAAATTAACATCAAAGTTACTAAAATTTGACAAGTTTTTTTCTATTTACAAGTCTAGTTCTCCCATAATTTTTATAAAATTTCAAGTAATACATTGTGATGTAGTTATCATCCTAGCAACAGCTGAAGCTTTTGAAATTCTTCAGTTCTCAAATACATCTTTGGAGTATCTAGAAAAGACGTGAGTTTAAAATAGTCTGTGTTTTAAAAGATCTTCAGAAAGTCTGTTGAGTATGTCTCACGAGGCCCTCCAGTCCTACGAATTGATCCATCTTTTTCTTTTGTTGTTATTGGTGATGGAAAACATTTGAAAGCATGGCAATTCAAGGTTACTTGTCCTTTTAAATAATCTTTTCAGGAGGCTCAGAATACTTTAAAGTCAATCGGGGTGCACTCAAATAATATTAAAGATATTAATTTTCATCATTCGATCCCAAGTTTTGTTTTTGTACTTGCTGGCGACCTCTCGTGTAGAATTTGGGATATACAATCTTGTAAACCAATACATACAATAAGCCCCCAAAGGATCACTTCATTTAGTTCGATTTCCGTCGACAATTGTATTCCACTAGGCACAAAAGATGGCCAGGTATGGCTTTTATATCGATAAATGAAAACTTAGGTCTTATCTATCTGCCCTCGTTCTTTCCAATGCATTCAGTTGTGCGCACTTCCTGAACCAGTAATCAGTAACGATAATAATCCTCCGAAGAATAATCCGGTCATCCACTCAAGTAACATTAAATTTCATGCTTTTTGATGGTTCTAGCAAATATAAGATCATCATGGTCGAAAAATGAGACTTTTAATCCATCAATTTCAACTGAGTTCTCAAATGAAATAGTTGCCTTTACAATGGTGGATTTGATATCTCTTCGTACTGATAATCACATATCAAGGTAAGCCTGATATTTTAACGCTTTTTTACGCTTATTTTTTAAACGGTAACTGCTTTCTAAAGGAGTTGGTTCTAACTGCGCATAAATGTAAATATTTATCGATACCTTTTGTTAGTCTTTTCGCATTCGTTTCTATCTGAATAATCGCATAATTTTCTGCTGTGATATTTCAGTAAATAATCTCAGTCGACTGTGCAGTTTCGGGTATTTTGAATTTTTTAAATATTTAGGTTACTTCTTCAAGCTTTATTAATGTCTTAAATCATAGGACAACGCATAACTCTGATCATAGTAATAATTCTGATTCTCACTAACAATATTAGCTACGTTCTTTATACTTTCAGATCGACAATGTTTCAGTCTGCTCTCCAAAACTACCTTCGTTATGTGTTTAATCAAAATTTTAACGGCTAAAGTTTCATAATGTTTGACATCCTATATCCAATATCTTTTTCACGAGCTAGTATAAACCAATTGATTTCTTTGCACACTATTCTTGTTCTTTCGGTACGGTTCCAGGTATTTGGTAGTGTCCAATCAATGGGAAGTCTAGCCATTCGACTGTCTAATTCTAGTCGGTTGGCAATTGGTTATGAGTTTGTATGTCCCGTAATTTGAATGAAAACGTTTGATTCAGGCCAGTAAGGTTTCTGAATACCAGCAGCTATCACATTAACAGGCCATAAAAAAGTTAGTTGCATTGTGGAGAATAATAGGGAGAAAATTTTAATACTAATAAGAGGATTTCAGAACTAATTAAATAAATGAATAACTGGGTTTAATCATTGGTAGTGAAGATAATGCGAGAGGACTGAAGTGTAAACAAGGAACAGGAAACAGAGGTAGTACGCGAGATAGATTAAGTTAGTGATCTGAGGAGATGGCAATAATAACAAATTGCAGGTCTTAAGACATCCGTCAGGCATAGCCTGTCCACGAGGTAGATGATAATCCGTATGTGAGTATGTGTTTATCAAGTAAGCTGTCAACTGAGGTGGGCTGTGCTCACCTCGGTTGGGAGAACATTCCAAGTTGCAACAACTAATGAGAAGAAGAGTGCACGAACCTGAGTATTCACTCTTTGAACCACAATTTTTCGAGGATTGCCTCAAGTTGTGATTAACTGATCACTAAATATATTTCAAGTTACATAGAAATCTGTTTGGATTTTCAACTAGCAGACTGTTGAAGTTCTGAGTACCATTACAATTAAAATGGTTCAACAGTGTATTTCTTCTTTAGGTAAATATTTTTTCTGTTGACAAAGAAAAAATTTCCAATCATAACAGTTTATAAATATTGGAATTTAACTGATTACCTTCTTTTATCACGATATGATCACCAAATGTTGCCCAAAACAGAAATTATGCCTTTTACCAGAAAATGTCCCTAAATTGCAAATCCATTTTCATAATCTATTCACACATTGTTCATCATTCATGTGACACCTCTTCCCCTGTTTTATTGATATTCAAAATTCATCAAACACCCCAATCATTTTTCTTTTACAGGGCTTCTAAACTCAGATCAAGTTTATCAGTCATTTTGTCACGTGCCAACTTATACATACTGGACATGTCTAATCATAATATTACAGCTAGTTGGAAATGGACGGATCTTAAGCTCTATAAGTGGATATACATATCCAATGCAGGAATTACTTACAATGCAGTAAGTAACTTAAATATAAATAAAAAAATGCTTAATTTCAAATATTGAAACTATATCGTCGGAAAAAACCTAGCAGTTTTTATTTATTCACTTGATGCAAGGTAAAAAAACTACATCCAAACTGTAGAAACCATACTTTATGCATTATGCAAATCTGAAGAGCGAATTGGTATACTGTTATCTGTTATCACACATGGTCTATTTCTCACGATTATTTGTTCGTTGGTGTTATGTCTGCACGTAAACACGTCAGCTTGATATGCTTTTGAACTATTACGAGTTTGCCTTAGTTGGAAAACGAGAGCGAGAATCGAGGATCCGGTGACACCATATGCTACTCAATTCGATTATCCTAACCCCCATATTGAGTAAAAGAAGACAAGACTTGATATGAAGTAGAACATGTATTCTACAAGCATCCAGAAAGTACGAGGTCGGAGTCCGGAAGAGAATTAGGATCCCAGGCTAGGGCTAGGGTGGATAAGACTAAGATTCGAAGAAATTATCCAAGAAGTATAATCTAGTGAAAAAAATTTAAAAGGAGAAAGATAAGGGTGATGAAGAATTGAGAAGATTATAGTTTGAGAGCAGACAAAGAGTAGCTGCATCTGCGCTGTTGCAAACGATTTTAATTTATGTCATACACTGTCCCTAACAATCGGTTATCATCAGCTCGCGGACCCTAACCAGGTGGTCTTCACCTACTTACGTAACTCAGTTCAGTTTTCAGTGACTTCATGGGTTTGTGTCATGTTTCAGTCAGTCAATCAATAGCAACGTAGAACTTCGTACATACGTACATCAGTTCAAGTTGCCATACGACGTTAGCACAGAGATACAATTTTCAATTCAAATCGCATAGTAGTAGAGATAGTAAAAGTATTATCAGTAATCGGAGAGGTTAGGATTAGAAGATATTATTCAAGAAGTAGTAGAATCTAGTGAAATAAACTTAAATCGATAAAGTGATGAGAAATTAAAAACTTTAGGATTTGAGAGAACACAAAGAATGAATGCACCTGCGCCATTGGAAACGGTTTTGAGCCATGTCACTCAGGGTCTCTAACCATCGATTTACTAACATCTCACGGACCCTAACCAAGTAATCTACATCTACCAACATGACTCAGTCCACCTGTCAGTGACTTCATGCATTTGTGCAATGTTTTGGTTTACCAAACCCTAGCTTCCTTCCAACCTATTCTTACACCGCAATATATAGTTCGTCCGGGAATACTAAGTAGGTAGTCTTCAGGCTCTCAATTCAACGCTTCTCATATAATGTTTTTTAGGACTAGATATAAATTTGAATTAGTCAATTCATAGTTGGCCGATTACACAATACACAATATTTCAGCAACTTACCAAAGTTTAAAACACTATCCATTCGTTTTTAGTCAGTAATCTTTCTAAATATATTTTATACAACTCATAAAAACACTGACTAATGAATATATTTTTTTAGTTATTTGTCCCTATACTACTGATATCAGAAAAAAAATCTATATTCATTAAAAAATTACCAATGAAACTATTGTTTTAAATTATTTGATTTTTTTTGTTGTGTGCGAGAAAATGCTTGCTTATTTAATTAATTCTCCTTCGTCTTTAGTCAGTAATCTTTCTAAATATATATTATACAACTCATAAAAACACTGACTAATTTCAGTCTTCTAAAAAATGAATATTTTTTTTTTAGTTATTTGTCCCCATACTACTTATATCAGAAAAAAAATCTATATTCATAAAATTATTTTTTTGTTGTGTGCGAGAAAATGCTTGCTTATTTCATTAATTCTCCTCTTTTGTTTTTTTTCTATTCTATTTTTTTTTCTATTTAAAGAAAGCTGTCAACTTTTGGGTTCGTGGTAATAATGATTGTGTTGGGTTTTTTAGTATTCCATTAGAAAATTTTTTGACTAGAATAAATGAATGCGAGAATGTTTCATCATCAAACAATTCACTGCATTTATCATTTATTGCTAAGTAAGTAAAATTGCACGATTATTTTTTTTTTTTTTGAATCCTGCGTCACTTATGGCGTAGGCGTGATATCCGTTCGCTAACCAAAGGACGGGTGCACTGCGCAGCAGTTCGTTCCGTTCGTTCTCTTATATGGCTGTGAAACATGGCCGTTAAGAGTAGAAGATGTTCGTAGGTTACTAGTATTCGATCATAGATGTTTAAGAAGCATTGCTCGTATATCGTGGGACAGCCGAGTAAGCAATGCTGTCGTTAGGAAACGAGTACTAGGTAAGGATGGCAGATCAATCGATGAAGTGGTGAGACTTCATCAGTTGAGGTGTTTGGGACATGTGTTACGTATGCCGAACCACCGACTGCCTCGACGAGCTATGTTTTGTGGTGTAGGAGTAGATTGAAAGAAAGCTAGGGGCGGCCAGACCAAAACATAGCAGAAATCCATAAAATCACTGACGAGTGGACTGAGTCATGTTGGTAGATGTAGACTACCTGGTTGGGGTCCGCGAGACGAAAGTCATCAATGGTTAGAGACCTTGAACGACATGGCTCAAAATCGTTTGCAATGGCGCAGGTGCATCCACTCTTTGAGCTCTCTCAAATCCTAATCTTCTGGATTAGCCAGCACCTCTACCTTTGTCTTTCTAACCTTATCTTACTGAATTATATTTTTTGAATAATATCTTAAACCCTAGTCTTCTTTATTATAACATTAATACCTCTACCATCTTTATCACTATGAGATTTGATTTGACATTTGCGTCTCTGTGCTAATAATGTGGTATGGCAACATGAACTTATGTACATACGTACGAAGTTCTCCGTTGCAACTGACTGACTTTTTTTGAATCCTGTGATGATGATTGAATATTCTTTTTTCTCTGTTTTTTTTTTAATTAAAGTATGCGATGATACTGTGTTGTTAAGCATGAAGAATGATGATGATGATGAAGACTTCCATGATTTTAAATCCATGCAGTTTAGACAACGAGAGACATTGTCAGAAATCATCATTTTTTTTTCGATAACAGTACTATTTTTGTAATCAATGTTGGAATAGTAGCTAGCAGTGGAATTCGGGACAAATGTTTTGATTAGTTTACGACTCGTTATTTGGATATATCAGCAGTTCATACTAGAGGACTTTAACACAGTACATTCCCTTGTAAACAAGGACAACTGAATATCGTCCGACATTGCCAGTCAGAATAGAAGATATTCGTAGGTTACTGGTCTTCGACCATAGGTGTCTTCGAAGCATTGGTCATGTATCGTGGGACAACTGAGTGGGCAATGCTGTTATTAGTAAACGGGTTCAAGGTAAGGATGGCAGATCAGTTGATGAAGTAATGAAACTTCATCAGTTGAGGTGGTTGGGACATGTGTTGCGTATGCCTAACCACTGACTGCCTCGTCGAGCTTTGTTTTGTAGTGTAGGGATAGGTTGGAAGAAAGTTAGGGGCGGCCAGACCAAAACATGGCAGAAATCCATGAAGTCATTGACGAGTGGACTTAGCCATGCCGATAATTGTCGACTACCTGGTTGGGGTCCGCGAGACGTAAGTCAGTGATGGTTAGAGACCCTGATTGACATTTCTCAAAACTGTTTGCAATGGCACCGGTGCATTTATTCTTTGTGTTCTCTCAAATCCTAATCTTCTGGATTCTTCAACGCCTCTAGTTTTGTCTTTCTAAACTTTTCTCACTGAATCATTCTTCTTGAATAATATCTTCTAATCCTAACCTTTCCGACTACTGCTAATACCTTTACTACTCCTACTACTGTTGGATTTGAATTGACAATTACATCTCTGTGCTAACGTGGTATAGCAACATGAACTAATGTACGTACGTACGTACGTACGAAGTTCTACATTGCTATTGATTGATTGATTGACCGTCCTACAAGTCTCATATTTAATGATAGCAACTATTCCAACTTCTATTAAAACCTGCATCTGTAACACCATAACAAAACAATCTGCACAGAATTTAAATATGCTCAAAGGAACTGGTCAATTGTAGTTCACGAACGACATCAGCAATCGGAATATTCAAACACTAACAAATAGTTCTACTCTCTTGACTGTTTGATGATGCTGTATATTCGCTGAGGTGATAAGCTGAATTTAGAGATTTTCATTGTCTTTCTGGACAACATCTCTAGGATCAAATCATCTACTTGAGCCCAGTGTTATTGTATTTGTCGTAAAACGACAAATCAGTAAAAATTGTTTTTACATGTGCAACTTATGTCCCTAAAACCATTTCCATATGAAACCATCTTTATTTTTTCAAATATTCATAACATTGGATTTCATATAATCCCATCAATATAGCTGTTCTAATTACTACACTAAGTAATGGGGTTCAATCAGAGCAAGCGTGAGACAAGTATCATCAATAAGGATAAACGCTAATCATACACTGTTACGAATTGACTGGTATTATACATTTGAATTATTGGACACTCACTCATTTACTAGTTTAGTCGTAAGACTCTAGTCACTTGATCTAAAAATACTTATTCGATATATGGTGAGGTCGTTAGTGCTCACTAACACGGATCCCATACTAGGATAAACCAGTTGTCAAATCATTATTGATTTCCAATGATTGTTTAGTAAAATCTAGTCCATCGTATTGTATTTTTTATTTCTGAAACATGCTAAAATTAATTTTTCTTCATGAATTTATATTTATACATACGTCATTAATTACAGAGATGATCTATTCACAAATTCCGTGTTAAACACTTGCAATAAATATCAACTTCAAACTAATCCACCAACCAAGAATAGAAGTCAATTGTCAACAACATTCAATTTAAAATCATTAGACAAACCAGTGACATTTGGACATAAAATTAAATCTTCTGGTTATGCAAAACAAGAACCAGTGTAAGTTAAATTTTGAATGATATTGTAGCTTATATTCGTCTATTATATATAAAATTGGGACCAAATATCACTACTTCATCAGTTAATATACTATCCTTACTTAAAACCCATTTCCTAACAACAGCATTGCTTACTCGGCGGTCCCAGGATATAGGGGCAATGCTTTAAAGACACCTATGGTCTAAAACCAGTAAACTACGAATATCTTCTACTCTTACTGGCCATAGAAGGACAGAGCGAACTGACACGCAGTAGACTCGTCCTTCGGTGAGCAAAGGTTTCATGAGACCAGGAATAATGTTTCGTGGACTCGAAACCTTGGCATCAGTGGCGCAAGGTGACATAGGAATGGGAGAAGGGTTGGTCGGGGAGATAAGAGAGATATTAGCGAGTGTAGGAAGGATTTGATGGTGAACGAGTTGGTCTCATGTGCTGTTACGGGTATTAGGGTGGATATCACTTCCTAGCTGCCCAGACCGTGGAACGGCTCTGGTTGTGAGTAGGGACATCAGCCTCATCACTTCCAAAGAAACTTGGCTTTCATCATGAGACGTCATAACTCTCCTAAGTGTTGCAGATGTTAGATCCCCAGAACTCTCTTAATAAGTGCCTTAATTTTGGATTTCACGTTTGCGGGCGTGGGCTGATCAGTTGACCTTGAGATTTTATTTCCCGCCAGGAAAATCCATGGCTGTGATTGGCTGCTGTGTATTTTGGTGTGCTATTTTTGTGACTCTCCCAAGGACGTGTTGTAGAATATACTTTCTACGCTTATCAAGACTTCTGTTTTGCAGTTCGGGATTCAAGGTAGCCTACCTGGTGGCTGGTAATTGTTGTAATTATTGACTAAGGTGAACTCGTAATAGCTTGAAGCGTACCTAGTGACGAAAGTAACACTATGTGAAAACCTTCTAACTCCCAGGTCAGAGTTTAAATGGTTCAAATTATTTTTTCCTGTTAGTTTTTTTAGCGAGTTACTTTAATACGGGATGTCATCGCCAACCTCATTCCCAACCATTCTCCTTTATCCTGGGACTAGCAGTAGCCCCAGAGAGGCTCCAAGTGGAGTTATCTAGTTTAGAAAGAAAGAAAGCATACACGCAATAGAAAAAGACAGCTTTAAAATCCAAAACGCAAAGATTATAAGCATCTTTGTCATTTCGGTCAATTCTTTTTTATGTCACTCATTGTCTCCAACCACCTCCATAATCGCGTGAATTCCGACTTGGTATTCTGCATCTACTTACATTGCTCAATCTAAAACAGTTATTGACTGTATGAACTGAGATAATGCTTCAGATATGCCCCGTCTAGCATTCTTCCAATTAACATCAAGATAGACAGTGTTTGAATATTTTAGTTGTATATATTATAGATTGTTACTGAGTAGAATCATGAATCATTCAATGTTAGACCACCATTAGGAGGAACCTGAAAGCACTAGACAGCCGTTTCGTCCTTGTATGGAACTCATCAGCATTGCGCATCCACAACTTCCCGCTACTCGCAGTATTCTAACCCGAGACCTTCGGTCTTGCGCGTGAACACCTAACCTCTGGACTACTGAGTTGGTGGTATCTAACGCTGTTAATGTCTGCTTGTGCAACTTCATTCACTGTTTTCGGTGAGCATTGCTTTACAACCAAACAGAATTTAACTCTACTCTGGTCACAACTTACAACAATATTTCCTTTGGAACAATTGAGATCTAACAGTAAAATTTCTTTAATTTTTTAGACGTACAACGTTTCTTCCCCTAATTGATAACCGTTCAAAACAAAGAAGTGCTTTAAAATTAGAAAATGAAGGGAATTTTACGTGAGTTTTTTTTCTCAAAAATTCATTTCAGTTATTTTTTTTTTAAAAAAAAGAAATCTGTGCTACTGATCACCGCTTTCTTCTTGTGTAGTTTATTGATTGTAGCAAAATGAATCAATCATTCTTTTAAACTACCCATTTAAAACTTGGAAGCACATTGGATTGATTCATGATTTCAATGTGTAAAAACAAAATAATCTCCATAACTGTAATTGAACAAACTTTTAATGTGCTCACTAGTGATGACTGGTTGCTTACTCTCACCCTTTCTCTTTCTCCTGGTCATCGACTGGATTATGAAGACGTCGACGTCTGGAGGGAAGCACGGTATCAACTGGACAGTTAGGACGCAGCTGGACGATCTGGACTTCGCAGATGACCTGGCTCTTCTATCGCACACTCAACAACAAATGCAAGAGAAGACGACCAGTGTAGCAGAAGCCTCTGCAGCAGTAAGTCTCAACATACATAAATGAAAATGCGAAATTCTCCGATGCAACACAACACGCAACAACCAAATCACTCCCTTGGAGGACGTTAACACCTTTACATATCTTGGCAGCATCATCGACAATCAAGGTGGATCGGATGCAGATGTGAGGGTGCGGATTGGCAAAGCAAGGGCTGCATTTCTACAGTTGAAAAATATCTGGAACTCCAAACAACTTTCAACCAAAATTGAAATCAGGATTTTCAATACAAATGAAATGTCAAGACAGTTCTACTGTATGGAGCGGAAACTTGGAGAACTACGAAAGGCATCATCCAGAAGATACAAGTGTTTATTAAGAGTTGTCTACGGAAAATACTTCGTATTAGTTGGCCAGACACCATCAGCAACAACGTACTGTGGGAGAGAACAAACCAGATTGCAGCGGAGGAGGAAATCAGAAAGAAGTGGTGGAAGTGGATAGGACACACTACGAAAATCACACAACTGCGTCACGAGACAAGCCCTTACATGGAACTCTCAAGGCGAAAGGAAAAGAGGAATGCCGAGGAACACACTACGCCGAGAAATAGAGAAAGATGTGAGAGGAATGAACAAACGTTGGACAGAACTGGAGAGGGAAGCTCAGGACAGAGTTGGTTGGAGAAAACTGGTGGTTGACCTATGCTCCATCGGGGGTAACAGGCGTAAGTAAGTAAGTAAGTAAGTACTATGATTACTAGCTTCGTGAGGAAATGTTCGGAGTTTTAGTGAGAAAACGTGACTAGCGGTGTTTAATCCTGTCGCGGGTAGATAGTTACTACCGAAGACAAATAGATGCCGGCCCAGTGGTACAGAGGTTAGGCGTTCGCGCCCAGGCCTGAAAGTCCTGCGTCCGAATCTTGTGAGTGTCAGGAGCCGTCGACGCGCACCGCTGATGAGTCCCCTAACCAGCATGAAACAGCCATATCCAGTGTTTCCAGGTTTCTAATGCTGGTCTAAGATAATAGTTAACCTTGTATTAAACTTTAACCTCATAAGCTATGACTGCGAATTCTTGAATCAGTAATTTTACCAAATGATTTCTAATCTACAGATCGTTATTATTACATAGTAAAAATAGTTTGTTCATTGAGAAAAAACTATTTTCAGAAACTAAGAAAAGATTGTAAAACATTTCACATTCAATGAAAACTTGTCAAAGATTTGATGGAGATGTAGGGAATTATTATGTTGTAATGTATGTACTACATATGTTGAACCGATAGGTTTTGTTCTAGCTTTCGGACTAACGGATTAATCTTTTCTGCTCGAGTTTTAGTATACATTCATTCTTTTGACCTTGTCAATTATTCATTCGCTCATGTCTTCATTGCTGCCATTTCAGTGTGTGCATGCTTACTTCGCTTATTACATATGTATAACTTACTTTTTCTGAATATTAATACTTACTCAGTGACGCTTCACCGCATTGAGTTAGCTGATTCGCATGCTATTCATTACTGCCTCGGCGAGCTTTGTTTTGTAGTGTAGGATTAGGTTGGAAGAAAGCTAGGGGCGGCCAAACCAAAACATGGCGGAAATTCATGAAGTCATTGACAAGTGGACTGAGTCATGTTGGTAGATGTAGGCTACTTGTTTGGGGTCCGTGAGATGATAATAATCGATGGTTAGAGACCCTGAATGACATGGCTCATAACCGTTTGCAATGGCGCTGGTGCATTTATTCTTTGTGTTCTCTCAAATCCTAACCTTCTGAATTAATCATCACCTCTATTCTTTGACTTTCTAAACTTTCTCACTTGAATCATACTTCTTGAATAATATCTCCTAATCGTAACCTCTCCGATTACCTCTAATACGTTTACTACCTCTTCTACTATTGGATTTGAATTGACAATTATATCTCTATGTTAGTGTGGTATGGCAACATGAACTGATGTACTTACGTACGAAGTTCTACGTTGCATCTGACTGACTGATGCTATTCATTGTCATGTCTCTCTGTGTGTACAATTGGATGAAATAAATTCATCCGCTAAACCGTATTTGACTTTTTATTACGGCGGCCACACAAATGGGGTTCGCCTAAGTATGCAATACGTATATGGAAGGGAAGATTTATTTCATAACACATTAAGTGTTCGTAAATATTGGAGATCAGATCGCGTGCCAATAAAGTTGTGAGTGCGACTTTGAATTCAACGCAGCCAATAAAATGTTTTATGTCTTGGTTAGATAGTTACTAAATTTAGCTTTTTTTCAAAAGCTTCTTGTGCATAACAGCGTCTCATCCAAACTTATACACATCCTTATGCTCTGTCATCAATTATCATCAACAGCAACGTAGAACTTTGCACTTAAGTACAGCAGTTCAAGTTGCCATACCACATTAGCACAGAGAGATGCAATTGTCAATTCAAATCCCATAGTAGTAGAGGTAGTAAAAGTATTGGAAGTAATCGGAGAGATTAGGGTTCGAAGATGTTATTCAAGAAGTATAATTCAGTGAGGTAAATTTAGAAAGAGAAAGATAAAGGTGATGAGTAATTCAGAGGGTTAGAATTCCAAAAAACACAAAGAGTAAATGCACCTGCTCCATTTCAAACGGTTTTGAGCCATGTCATTCACCGCCTCTAATCATCGATTATTATCACCTCGCGGACCCCAACCAGGTAGTCGACACCTACCAAAATGACTCAGTTCACTTGTCAATGACTTCATGGATTTGTGCCATGTTTTTTGGTCTGGCCACCCTTAGCTTTCGTCCAAGCTGTTCCTATTTCGCTCTGTACTTAATATGAATTCGGTAACAAAGTTCCTAGTCATTCTTTCAGATTCTCGATATATTATTTGTGAGATATTTCTTGTGAGACAAAGCAATGGGTGGAAAGTTCATATGTACTGTCTACATTATACTTAATCGCTACAAACTTTTATCATTCATATACGTATATATAGCTATGTATTGTTTTATAGTGGGTGCAATTTTTCATGTATTTCTTTTATTTAAAACAGAAAACTGACCAAATCATATCCGAATACTGATGAACTGCCAAATATTCTTCAAATACATGGATTTGTTGACTCTTGTACTACACCAATCTATAAAGTTGCATATTCACGTGAGTAATTTATTTACACAATAACTAAGTGTCATGTCAACTAATAGATATAATCAAGTAAAAACGTTTTACATAATAAAGGCTATTTTCTGTATAACACTGTTAAACAAGAATGTGTATCACAGTACGAGGATTGTGGAGTTCAACTGTTCTGGGTGTTCCGGGTGAGAGGTGATTATGTAGTGCCTACACATAAACTTGAGTTCGCTCATATTTAATTTGATTAAGCCTCTTCGATTAACTTATGTAATCAAGCTATTTGTATAGCAACAACCCATATGTACCATTGGTATTTTTTTATGGCGTGGTTTGTATGAACTTGTACGACTAAGCATTGCTTACCGCCTACGCGCATATTCATCCTATTCGCTTTAATGTTAATCTCTTAAATACCGCGATGACTCAGACATTTTCCTTTGTCTATGTACGAACATTTTAATCTTATTAATTCATTCGCACATTCGATTGTTAATGTGCCTGCCCGGCCTACTTGTGGTCTGCTATCCCTATTTGTGGTGTGCCAAAATAAACGTATTCAACACTTCGAATTCACCTTCTGGTTTATAAACCTTGCAGACGCTATTTAGTAACGATTGTCTGGACGAGCTAATCACGAAGAGTAAGAACTCGTAGAAATTGGCCACCACAGTTACGCGATATAGTTGGACTTGTAAATCATTCAATATAAACTCAGTGGTTTGGAGATTAAACATAGCTTGCAGGGCTGGTTTTCATATTCGAGTCCCATTGAAGGAGTTGTTGGGCTTCAATGTTGAAAAACCTCATACTAAGATTAAATGGTTGTCTGGTGGCTGCTAGTTTCCGACGTTTGTCTAACTTGGATTGGTTTACTATCGTCATACGAATCATAACAGTTGTCAAAAATATATCAAGTCAACAGAAGATTATTATCATTATTCCCAAAACACCACTAACCAAGTGCTATGATTTAATAGGCAAGCAACTAGAAGATCAAATTAACTGCTTCCCAACAATTGCGTCCTATGTTCAAACCTTACTTTGCCTTATTTGATTTGCTTATCAAGATCGTGTCTTCCAGTCGTCGTCATTCAAAAATAAAATTTGACTTAAACCTCTGGGTTGTATTTCGTAAATTATTCATATCGAAAAAGATTACATTGAGAAAAAATACTGTTTAAGGCTATGACACTAAAATGAATATACTACGTTTAGTTTGTCAATGTAGTTTGCTAGTACAGTAAGTAGTAAGTTGGAAAAAAAAGCAAAAGTTAGCAAAACCAAGACTTGGTTGGTACTGACCCCTTTGTAGTCACTGACTGTTGCACTCAACCATGTTAGTAGTATGTACAGATTGTCTGGGTTAGGAGGCTTTTAGTGATAACTGTGATCGGAGGTTAGGGAAAGGGTGTGTGATAGATATGGCTCCGAATTCATCTCAGTGGCAAAGATGCTGCATTCACAATTCGTCTTAAAATGCCTTATGCATTTCATTCATCGTGATAATCTCATTTCACTGTTCTGATGTTGTGGCATTCGTTACAGATGTATGTCTGTGTAAATAGAATGTTTATGTCTGACTGATTTGATTTCATCTCTTTTATTTCTTGTTTTATTAGTTTCCTCGTTTGTTATATGGATGTGTAGTAAGCTTAACAGACGCATATTCGTATCAGACATTATGATATCTGCAACGGATCGATATATGTCTTTTTGATTAGTTATCCCCATTTCCAAGTAGATAGATAATGGTTGATTCGTATCACTCAAGGTTTACAGCAAAATCAATGTTGTAATTATAAACAGTTATGATGTGAACCGCCTATCGCTAACATTAACGTTTTTTGGCAAGGTTCTTTTTTATAGGGTACCATTGTTAACCCACCCCGTGTCTGTCACTCCTTTATTCAGGCTTGATTCCGGTAGATGTCCAAGAAGGACACTAGGTGGAGGTTGTTTCTCGAGCATACGCTTTAACTATATCGAATGTGGGTAACAGTGGAATCCAGGTCGCATATTCTTTTAGACGAAGACTCTGATAAAATGCAGAGTCTTCTAACAACCTAACGAAACAAGCATATTTTGGATGCGATTCTTCTGCTTCAAATGCAAATTGTGTCTACAGAACTGGCTTACGTCGATGATTGTGATAGAGGGTGAAGAAAGTTGAGTGGGTCAACTGCTTCATTTATCTTAAGAGTCTTACCTAGTGTGTGACAAAATCTTGGCACAGATACAGAAGGTTCGATCGGCTTTTACCAACTAGTGTCACTTGTGGTCAAAGCGAGATATCCGTCTGCCAACCACAGGACGAGTTAGCTGCGCAGAACTTTGCTCCGCTCTACTTTAAAAGTGTACAACATGACCATGAGACATTCTTAACCTACTACTAGTATTCGGTTAAGGGTGTATTCGAAGCATTGCTCGTGTATTTTGGGACTGCCAAGCTAGTGATGCTGGCGTTAGGAATAGGATACTAGAGTACGATGGAAAATCATTAGTTGAGACGGTTGGGACAGGTGTTACATATGTCTAACCACCAACAACCTTCATGAGCAATGATATCTGGTGTAGAAATCATCTGGTAGAAAACTAGGGGCAGCCAAATCGAATTTTCACAAATCCATGAAGTCACTGATGACTGAACTGAGTCATGTTAACAGCAGTAGACTAACTAGTTGGGATCTGCGAAGCAATCGTACTCGGGGGTTAGAGACTCTGAATGAATTAGCTCAATATCACTTGTGAGGACGCACGTGCATTCATTCATTATTTTCTTTTAAATACTAATCTACTTAATTCCTCGTGCTTTTTCTCTTTTTAAATGTATTTTTCACTGAAATATACTTCTCGAAAGACATGACATCTGAGATCCTTAATCTTTTCAATAACCGTTAATACTTCTGCAACCTCAGCTACTCTGTAATTTGGCCTAATGATTTCCTCTCTTTGTACTAATATGGTATGGCTACTTGAACTGATATACGTACGTGCCAAGTTCTACGTTCATTCTTATTTTGAAACTGTCAGCCAGATGTACGTCCAAGATGTTTGAAGCTAATTGTACTGCATTCGATTATGGAGTACACGTATATCTAGCTGATGAGTCCCAAGGAGAGCAGAGCGCTCTTCCTAGATTTCATGACTAGCCTTGATTCCATGAATCCTATCTAAACCTGTCTCATAATGACTATGCTAAGGCAATCCGCACATAATGTTGTACATTTGCCAAACAAGACTGATTAGATCTGAGCCAATTACATCAACATTTGGATAACCTTAAACCATTGTGGTGGTGTTTTGTTCTCTGAGCTGGTGACATAGGATCAAGAAACAGATCAAAAGGGGGGGTGCAATCAAAACAAAGGTGATAATAACGACAGGTCAAAAGTCAACAGCAACCAATCAAGATAGAGGTTAACAGAACAAGCTACAGGTGAAACGTGTAGGGGAAATTCGAATACTTCACTTCTATCTGAAGTTTGTGCTGATGATGTTGTTCAGTAGAAGAACAATGAAAGCTCCACAACCAAAACAACCAGCTCAGAGAACGAAACACCACCACAAACATCCACCTGAGCTACAAGTTTTCTCCACCATCTCAAAACCTTAAACCATTACAGATAAAATTCAATTAGCTTTAACAATGGAACATTTTGATATTTTTCCCCCGTTCATTTATTTCTAATCTTTTATAGCTAACGGTAATCGTTTAGCATCATGTTTGGGTAATGGAATTTGTTTGATTACTCGTTGTAATCAAAACACATTGGAAGAAAAACAAAAGAAATTCTTTTCTTCAGCTAAAGCATTACGTGGTCATTTAGGTCCTGTACTCTGGGCATCTTGGTCAACAAACAGTTGTTTACTATTAACTTGTTCATCTGATCGAACTGCACGTCTTTGGCGATTTATAGGAAGTAATAATGAATTGAATAAAAAGTCGAATATTAAACTGGGATCAATAACAACTCAACTGATATTCGATTCAATATATAAAGGAGCTACAAATGATTATGGAGAAAAAGTTGGATTGAAGGTTGGTTTTTAATTATCTTTTCTAATTGAAAATTTGTAAAAAAACCATGAACAATAAGTGTCAACTTTGCTATGACTTCTATGCCTATATAGGTCAGTCAGTTGCAATTTGGTCTCGTGTGCTGTTGCGGGTATGAGGGCGGTTATCACTTCCCGGCTGCCCACACCGTGGAAGGTTGTTTCATGAGGAACCTGAAAAGAAAGATAGATTAGCGTTGGTCTCGAAGACCTGGTTGCGTGACCGCAGAGCCCAAGGGACAACTGCTTGAGGCCGGTCACGCACGGCCTTTTTATGAAAGGTTTTTTGAGTATTAGCTCCGTTCTTAAAGGCCCTTAGTGGGCACCCTTACCCAAGGAGACGGAAATCCATGAGTTAGGGGAGGTGTGACATTTTTAGGGCCGACCTTTTCTAACCCTTCCTTCCTTGTGAGAAGGCAGCATCGCTGCAGATGCTGGTTGTCCGAGGGAAACACCTTACTGCTGTCACACTCCTCCACAGTCAGTCAGCAGTACGACTTCGCCCTCAGACCTTGAGTAGGTGATTTTAGTCTCACCGTTCTCCAATCGACCTGCTTGCTGGCATGTTAGGACCTTCAGGAACGTGTATTCCAGCCAGTATAGCTCGATTGGATCATCACGATAGGCAGGCCCGACCAGCACGTCAAGGTAGCAGCTTCGGTCGGGATGCCTATATAGGAAACACATTCAGTATGTTGTTGACATTACTTTAGCAGTTGTCGTAAACTTTGAAACACCTGACAACTAGTTTGCCTTAGTATAGGAGTCGCAACAGTATTTATTTATCATCAGTCAGTCAGTTACAACATAGAACTTCGTACGTACGTACGTCAGTTCACGTTGCCACACCACATTAACACAGAGAGGCCATCATCAGTTCAAATCCCATAGCGGTAGATAGGGTACAAGTATGAGCAGTAATGGAGAAGATTAGGATTCGAAGAAGTTATTCGAGAAGTATAATTCAGTGAGATAACTTTAGGAAGAGAAAGATGGGGGTGATGATGAATTCAGAAGATTAGCATTTGGGATAACACAAAGAGTGGATGTACCTGAGCTATTGCAAACAGTTTTCAGCTATCACGTTCAAGGTATCTAGCCATCGATTACTATCATCTCGCGGACCCCAACATGACTCCATCCACTTGCCAGTGACTTCATGGATTTGTGTCATGTTTTGGTTTGGCCTCCACTAGCTTTCTTCCAACCTACTCCTACACCACAAAACAGCTCCTCGAGGCAGTCGATGATTGGGCAAACACAACACATGTTCTAACTACCTCAACTGATGAAGTTTCAGTACTTCATTAATTGATTTTCTGTCCCTACTTAGTACCCGTTTCCTAACGATGGAATTGCTTACTCGGTTGTTCCTGGAAACACAAGCAATGCTTCAGAGATATCTGTGATCAAATACCAGTAAACTACGAATATCTTTTACTCTGACTGGCCATGTTTCGCATCCATATGGTAGAACGGAATGAACTGATGCTCAGTACACTCGACTTTTGGTTAGCAAACGGATATCTCGTCTACGCTGTAAGCGATGCTATCTATCTACTGTAGGAGTAAGCCGGAAAAAAGCTAAGAGTGACCAAACAAAAATATTGTACAGGTTCATCAAGTCATTGAAAATCGGACTGAGCCATATTAACAAATGTGGACTGCCTGGTTAGAGTCCGCGTAATTTTCGTAACTGCTGGTTAGATACTTTAAATGTCATGGCTCAAAACCGTTTCCCTTGATGCAGGTGCATCCATTCTTTGCCTTCCCTCAAATTCTAATCTTAATTTCTCATGACTTATCTCTCTCTTTCTAAATTTATTTCACTGGATTACACTTCTTGAATCTCTTCTTTGACCCCTAATCTCCACTATTTCGAGTACTGCTACTGCCTCTACCACTCTGAAGTTCTACGTTGCAATTGATTGGCTGACTCATCGAAAGTTTAAACAATCTCCAAAAGTGGAATGATTCATCTGTGTGAATATCGAAGATCAAAAGATGACTCAATCATTAAAAATATTTGTTTAATCTACATTACTGAAAATTGTAACATACTATATTCGAGATAGCTCTTAAACTTCATATATTACTCATTAGTATATTTCAGAAGAAGATACGAAGCATTGACGACTGTTTATTTTATCGCACAGTACAGATCACGACACCACAGGAGTACGATGCGAATACCGGAGAAGGAATAAATAGGATTTGAATGCACTCCTATATACGAAAACAAGTGAATCAGTGAGTGATTACCATTAAAGCCAGTAAGAGGTACGAATATTTACGACGAACTGTTACTTTTGAAATGACGCTGTCTGTTAAATAGGTTAATTAAAGGTCTTAACCAAATTGGACCAAAGAAAACTAAAATGTAGGTGAGGTTCTATACAGTCAATCAATTCATCATTTGAGTGTATTGAGCAGCAGTTCTCTCCATTCTCGTATATGGATGTGAAACATGACCTGTGGGAGTAGAAGACATTCGTAGGTTGCTTGTCTTTGATCAATAGGTGTCTCCGAAGCATTGTTCGTATATCCTGGGACAACCAATTAAGCAATGCTATCGTTAGGAAATGAGTACTAGGTAGGTATGGCAGATCAATCGATGAAGTGGTGAAACTTCATCAGTTGAGGTGGTTGGGACATGTGTTGCGTATGGCTAACCACCGACTACCTCGTCGAGCTATGTTTTGTAGTGTAGGAGTAGGTTGGAAGAAAGTAAGGGGCGGCCAGACCAAAAAATGGCATAAATCCATGCAGTCACTGACAAGTGGGCTGAGTTATGTTGGTAGATGCAGGCTACCTGTTTGAGGTCCGCGAGACGAAAGTCACCAATGGTTAGAGACCTTGAACGATATGGCTTAAAATCGTTTTCAATGGCGCAAGTACATCCATTCGTTGTGCTCTCTCAAATTTTAATCTTCTGGATTCGTCAGCACCTCTACCTTTGTCTTTCTAAACTTATCTCACTGAATTATACTTCTTGCATATTATCTTCAAATCCTAATCTTCTCCATTAGCAGTGATTCTTCTACTATCTCTACCACTATGGGATTTGAATTGACAATGCGATCTCTGTGTGCTAATGTGGTATGGCAACCAGAATTGATGTACGTACGAACGAAGTTCTACGTTGTAACTGACTGATACCATAATCATATAAAATAGTTTAGAGCTTTGTTGATTTCACACTTGAAATACTCCAAATTAGTTGTATTTCTGAATTGAACTACGATGTCTGAATCTTTTAATATAATACCCTACCTAATTCAACGGTGTATTGTGAGTTGAGATTACAGAATGCCATTTGCCAAGTTAAATTCCTTCAAATGCCGATATCAGTAGGAAAATTGTGATTGGAGTTAAGATATATTTGTTAGCGATCTCTTGGTACCGAAATAATGCCAAGATCGTGCCAAAATTTACAGACGAGACTACCGATTGAGCTTTAGCAAGCCTATGTTCACAATCAGAGGAAGATGAGTGTGTTTGGTACAGTTAAACAAAGAGGCACAGTAAAATAATCACTGGTACAGTTAGTTATAACTATAAATGTTCGCATTACACCGACCGCGTTCTCTTCATAAAAGTAACTCACTACAGGGGAATGACTACGCTAACTGATACTGCAACTATGTTTGACGAGTTTTTCTATTGCAGTCACCTCACTTCTGTGCAATCTATTAGAGAGCATTTAGATAGATGGTAGAGAAAGACATGCTTAACCACCTTAGACGATTGGTGTGAATTATTTGTTCCGGTTAGCATCTTTAAGCAAGTTGGTTTTTGTGCAGGATAGGGTCGCTAACCTCATGTCCAATCCTCCTTCTCCTTTATCTGAGTTTGCGACTGGCAGTAACCCCAGAAGGACTCCAGGTGGCCTGTACTCCATTAGGGGTAAAAGGCGTCAGTAAGTAAATAAGTATCTTATACGATAAATGTTCACCAACTCTTCAAAATATCAACAATCAGTGTATAGAATATTATGTTAAACCGTAATAGTGATCATTCAGTGATTTTTAACTTGACATGAACTATACTCCGTAAACAACAATAATCAGATGCCTAGATTTTATTAACCACTTACCTACCAAGCTCCATGAAACTTTCATAATCATAATTGATCAACACTGTTCACTATTTTATTTCGTGTAATAATCAGACAAGTGCTTAATCCAAACTAGTTATTCTGCTTACCTAGGTAGAAATACACATGTGTATTAAGCATTACTACGAGCTAGGTTTTGTGGTGTAGGATTAGATTGAAAGAAAGCTAGGCGCGGCCAAACCTAAACATGGCACAAATCCATGAAGTCGCTGACAAGTGGACTGAGTTATATTGGTAGATGTAGACTATCTGGTTGGGTTCACGAGATGATAATAATCGATGGTTAGAGACCCTGAATGACATGGCTCAAAATCGTTTGCAATTGCATTCATTCATCGTGTTCTCTCAAATTCTAACCTTCTGAATTCCTCATCATCTTTATCTCTCTCTTTATAAAGTTATCTGACAGAATTATACTTCTTGAATAATATCTTCGAACCCTAATCTCTCCGACTAGTGCTAATACTACTACTACCAGGGGATTTGAAGTCAGTCAGTCAGACGCAACGTAGAACTTTGTACGTAAGTACATCAGTTCATGTTGCCATACCTTATCAGCACAGAGATATAATTTTCAATCCAAAACCAATAATAGAAGGGGTAGTTAAGGTATTAGAAGTAATCGGAGAGGTTAGGATCAGAAGATATTATTCAAGAAGTATGATTCAGTGAGAAGAGTTTAGAAAGTCAAAACTAGAGGGGTTGAAGAATCCAGAAGATTAAGATTTGAGAGAACACAAAGAATAAATGCACCGGCACCATGGCAAACGGTTTTGAGCCATGTCGTTCAGAGTCTCTAACCATCGATTATTATCATCTCGCGGACTCCAACCAGGAAGTCGACAACTACCAACATGACTCAGTCCACTTGTCAGTGACTTCATGGATTTCCGCCATGTTTTGGTTTGGCAGCCCCTAACTTTCTTTCAACCTACTCCTACACCACAAAACATAGGTCGACGAGGCAGTCGGTGGTTAGGCATACGCAGCACATGTCCCAACCATTTCAACTGATGAAGTTTCATTACTTCATCTATTGATCTGCCATTTTTACCTAGCACCGGATTCCTAATAACCGCGTTGCTCACTTGGGTGTCCCACGATATACGAGCAATGGTTCGAAGACACCTATGATCGAAAACGAGTAACCGACGAATATCTTCTACTCTTGCTGGCCATGTTTCACAGCCATAAAGTGACAGTCGCATCTCTGTGCTAATGTGGTATGACAACCTGAACTGATGTACTCATGTACGAAGTTCCACGTTGTAATTGACTGACTGACTGACTGACTTAATACATTGTATGACTTGTTTCAAATGATGCTCAAGTCAAATATGCTATGAATTCAACATGCTTTCATTTATTTTGTTTGACTAATAAAAAAATGTGACGTTCTCCTTTCTTTCTTCCCTTCTTACATTGTTTGTCTCAATCTTTCTCTCCCATCTCGAAATTGTTTTCTTCTTAGACAAAAAACACATATCGTCATGTACCATTTGAAGATCATATATCAATTGGAAATTTTCACTATATGGATTCATTTGTATATTTAGTTTGTCAAAATATAATACGTTTATACACGTATACACTATCAAATAATGAGAATATTTTGAAAAAGTAAGTTAACATTTTTATTTGATAATTGAATTGCTCAACTACTAGTGAGCTTATCAATAAATATGAAGTAGTGAAACTTTTTCACTGTTGAGGTGGTTAGGACATGTGTTACGAATGCCCAACTACTGACTGTCTCGACGAGCGATATTTTGTGGTGTAGGTGTAGATTGGAAGAAAGCTAGGGGCGGCTTGACTGTGAAACATGACACAAATCCATGAAGTTACCGACAGCTGGATTGAGTCATGTCAGTAGGTGTAGACTACCTGGTTTTGGCCCATGAGTTGATAGTTAGAGACCTGAATGACATGGTTCAAAATCGTTTGCAATGGCTCGGGTGCATCCACCCCTTGTGTTCTCTGAAATTCTTACCTTTATCTTTATCTGAGCCCATCGGATGAAGCACTTCCTCTCGACATTCTGAGTTCTTAGTTTCAATCGCCAATAGAGTCGTAGATATGCACGGTTGAGGAGTTTCATGCCAGGAAGAGACGATTGTGGTTTCCAAAGGTTGCTTAAGATTTTTTTCATAATGAAAACTCTCCCTTGACCCGAGTTTCAAATTATTTGGCATCCGATTGTCAGCCACAATTATTTTCAGTCTTGAGGTAATTAGTAGTCCTAATGGAATCAAGTCAGTCATGTACATCATATGTACGTAAATCAGTTCAAGTTGTAGCAGCATCTCACCACCGATCATTCATTCATTCATTGTACTTTAATAATTTGTCATTTAAATTATTCGATAATTGTATTTGTAATCAATTCGATTACTTACAGTATCGATTATTGTATATTTGATTGTGTGTGTGTGTGTGTGGATGCTTACTCGCTTATCACATACATGTCTAGCCTATTATTATTGCTTGACTATAACTACTTAGTCATTGCTTCAGCTCATGGAGAGTTAGTTGGCTCATTCGCCTTCTCCTCCAATTCACTTCATTTTGCTTGTACGCATCCTATTCTCATGTTTGTCTGCATAAATGAACATGCATGAAATTAAATTTGTTTGAATAGCGCCTGACGGTTTATAAATCAGAAGGCGAATTTGAAGTATGAATACGTTTATATTTTGGACATAACACATAGCGAAGTTGAAAAGCAGCGAAAGAATGAGCGAAGGAAGCGGATGAACAGGCAAAGCGCGTTGGAGAAGGCTAGTGGGCCAATTCAAAGAGATAGAGCGTGACTAAGAATATATATTGGGGCACAGTTTTTGGAGGTTTGCGTTTTTACACATTTGAAATCATTGATCAATCATCATTGTTAGACCACCATTAGAAACCTGGAAGCACTGGACGGCCGTTATCAACAATTAAGATGTTGGTTTCTTGTAATTGATTTGTGTATATTTATTATTGAGTAATACTTTGTCTCTCCTTATGTTATGTTGTATATTTATAGAAGTTCTGCTAATAATAGTTATAAATTGGTTGGTGAATTTCCAATAACCACTTGTAATCAATTAACTGCTGTGGCATCTGTAAATCTTTTCTACTCATGTAAGCATTTTAGTTTTTCTTTTATTGAAAAAAACTGCTGATCAAAGTAAACGTTGAATAAAAGTAGTTACACATTGTTTGATCTATAAAACTTCATCAGTTTTCTGTTAGACACCAGTCAATCAAACTTTGTCAATGAAATCACCAAATCAATCATTGTTAGACTACTATCGGAAACCTAGAAGCACTGGCCGGCCGTTTCGTTTTGGTATGGGTCTTCGGCAGTGAACATCCACGACCCCTGCTCGAAGGAATCGAACCCAGGACCTTCGGTCTCGCGCGCGTAGGCTTCACCTCTAGACCACGGAACCGGCTGGCATCTAATGGTGTTAGAGTTTAACTTTGATCAATCTAAAGCTTTGTACAACTTTTCTTAAATGAATACTGAATGCACAGTTCTATTTGTTTAACCTATAACTAATCTTAACTATGACATCTCACTCATTGCTACACGTTATTACGATATCTATGGTCGTAAATCGATGATGAGAAACCATGAAGCATATTGAATCCATACTATTCTTCCCGATTGTTGTTCTAACCTTATTTAAATTCGCATTACGGGGTTGTGAAGATTGTTAAGTTTCACATTTTTGAAAGCATGAATCGATCAATGTTAGACCACCATTAGAAACCTTGAAGCACTGGACGGCCGTCTCGTCCTGGTATGGGACTCTTCAGCAGTGCGCATCCACGACTCCTGCACCCCGCAGGATTCGAACCCAGCACCTTCGGTATTGTGCGCGAACGCCCTAACCGTTAGACCACTGAGCCGGTATCTAACGGTGTTAATGTCTAACTTGATTAAATTGGTCAAACGTATCATTCGCACAAAATCAGATATATAACCGTGAATACGAAAGAACAATACGAAGAGTAGAATTCAAAATGTATGTTTCAACACACGTTTAAGTTAACTAGAGGGTTACTGTAGACTTTAATAGCACCAGTAGTCTGCTTCATCTCTGTTAGTTAGCCACCTACCTACCTCATATACTACGCATTCACAAGCTAGCAGCTCTATGGTAGTATTGCTTTTAAACTTTATTGAAAACTTCTTAAGAATCCTATATTATTGATGAATTCTCTATGTGCTGCCTTGGATTAGATTATCCCAGTAGTTTCAACTTCATTCAGAATTTGCAGTTATAATATTGTCCGAAAAGAACAATGGAATCTTTAAAATTGAACAATCAGCGTTGGAGAACTTAATAACCGCAAATAAATCGATAAATTATTCATATAATCTTCCAATTACTGACCCTATCGATCAATAACAGTCATGAAAAAGTCGATCGCAGTAAAATCATCTCTATATGTCAGATTTTACACAGCAGTTTTGCTACGCATTCACGTGAACACGTCAATTGATATGCTTGAACTACTATGAGTTTACCTTAGCCGGAAAGCGAGAGCGAGGATCCAGCGACACGACAGGCTACTCTTATCCAAGTGCCCCGACCCCTATATTTAGTAAAAAGAAGAAGACTTGATATGAAGTAGAACTTGTGTATTCTACAAACATCCAGGAAGTACGAGGTCCGAGTCCAGAAGAGAATCAGGATCCCGGACTAGGGATCCGGTACCGGGTCCTGGTCGTGGTCATATAAAATGTTACAGATAATGCGTATTTATACATTTAGGTCGAATAGGAACCAACACTGAAGTCTGTGACATTGACAGTTAGGACGATCAATAGGAAACAACCTTTGAAGTGACACTGATAGAGTCAAGATAACCGATGGGAAACAATATTGAAGTATGTGACATTGATACGATGACAAATAGGAATTGACCAATAGAATTAGACTTACAAATAATTCTCTTAGGATATTGGATGAATATCCTAACAGAAAACGAAAAAGATTTATAGCCAATCTTTACTATAAAGGGAGTTAATCCAGACAACTGGGTAAACACTCAAACATTGTTGTTAACTAAACTACTAGTAAGACAATGATTCAACTATATATTACGATTTATTATTCAAAGTTATATCATGTCAAGCCCACCATTGAAATTGAACATTGTGCATACGATCTCACATGTGGAGGAGGACATTTGGTGACCATTGCTAAGAAGAAGGAAGAAGAAGCTTACTGAGATGAAAGGCCTATTCTTTGTGTTTCAATGGTCAGTCAGTCAGTTGCAACGTAGAACGTCGTACGTATGTACATAAGTTCGTGTGGCCATACCACATTAGCACAGAGACGCAAATGTCAAATCAAATCCGATAGTGATAACAATAGTAGAGGTATTAATGGTAATGAAGAAGACTAGGGTTCGAAGATATTATTCAAGAAGTATAATTCAGTGAGATAAGTTTAGAAAGACAAAGGTAGAGGTGCTGACGAATCCAGAAGATTAGGATTTGAGAGAACTCAAAGATTGGATGCACTTGCGCCATTGCATTCGATTTTGAGCAATGTCGTTCAAGGTCTCTAACCATCGATTATTATCATCTCGCGGACCCCAACCAGATAGTCGACAATTACCGACATGGCTCAGTCCACTTTTCAGTGACTTCATGGATTTGTACCATGTTTTGGTCTGGCCGCCCCTAGTTTTCTTCCAACCTACTCCTACACCACAAAACAGCTCGTCGAGGCAGTCGGTGCTTAGGCATACGCAGCACATGTCCCAACAACCTCAACTGATGAAGTTTCACTATTTCATCTATTGATCTGCCATCCCTACCTAGAACTTGTTTCCAAACAATAGGATTGCTTACTCGATTGTCCCACGATATACGAGCAATGCTTCGGAGACATCTGTGATCGAATACTAGTAACCTACTAACATCTTCTACTCTGACTGGCCATGTTTCACAGCCATATAGGAGTACGGAGCGAACTGCTGCACAGTACACCCGTCCTTTGGTTAGCGAATGGGTATCTCGCCTACGCCATAAGTGACGCAGGTTGGCGAAAGCCAATCGAGCTTTCTGTATCCGAGCTGAGATTTCGTCAGTCACCAGGCTATCAGCACTGATCAAACTCCCCAGATGAGTGAAGTGATCAACACGCTCACCAGTAAAATTTAACATCGTGCATATGATCTCACATGTGGAGGAGGACATTTGGTGACCATTGCTAAGAAGACGAAGACGAAAATTACTGAGATGAAAGGCCTGCTCTTTGTGTTTCACTGGTGGTGGTGTTCTTTTCACCTATAACTCATTTTATAGACTTTTGTACATCCCTGTAAGTAATTGTACAAGTCACATAAACAAAACTTGCTTTCTTTGATTTTTCTTTTAAATATCACACAGATTTAATGGTATGTGCTGGATCAGATCGTCGTCTATCGATTTTAGACTTAAATTGTGGACAGATTATTCAAGAAATTCCATCAGCACATAATAAGTGTATAACAGGGATTGCATTAAATCAGGTAAAAAAAACACATGATATGGTTACACTGAATTTAAATGTGTTTATTCAATATTTTTCATCGAAATTCAATAACAGCTGAGTTTTCCATGTTATCAAAACTTAGGAGTTCGGTATATCTATCTACGGTTGCCACTTTCATGTAGTGATCGGGATTATCTGCCGCGTCAACCTAACAACTCATCCCTTTTTGGTTGGAACACTTTGTGCTTTATATATGTATGTTAAACATATTACAAAAGTTGACAGTTTGACAATGAAACTGAAAGCGGAATGCTTCCAGTTCGAAGGCAAGATCAGACTGAGAAGACTGAGGCAGGCGCGGAAGATTGAATACTCTATTTGCACACCATCTTTGAGTCATGACTTCCAACACTCCATCCTTCTTCCATTCCTGTTGTTGCTTCCTTTCCTTCCTCTGTTGGTACTCCATTCACTTCTTGATTTTGCTCCATTTGCTTTCCGTTTTCCTCTTCTGACCATGAGACTTCTTCTTTCACGTCCCTTCCTATACTACTTATATCGTTCGTATAAGTAGCACACACCACAAGACTTCTTATTGTGTGTACTTGCCTGTAAGCGGATTTAGATTAATTTCCATGGATATGAACATCTCCACTGATCTGTAAATGAAAGATCAACTTGAAAAATGCTACACATCAATAGTCCTATTGTTTTTCAACGATAGCATTATTCTTTGAAAATTACAGTGTTAACAAAGTAAATACTAACTGCATAAAGGTAGTGCATAGTTGGCTTTAAAGGGCTATATGTATAAGGTTCTACAGGTGCATTGTCAATCTAGTTTCACATTGAGATTTTACAAAGATATCATTTTACTGTGTTTTCAATTCAGTCAGTCAGTCAGTTGCAACGTAGAACTTCGTACGTATGTGCATCAGTTCATGTTGCCATTACCACATCAGCACACACAGAGACGCAAATGTCAAATCAAATCCCATTGTGATAAAGATAGTAGAGGTATTAATGGTCATGAAGAAGACTAGGGTTTGAAGATATTATTCAAGAAGTATAATTAAGTGAGATAAGGTTAGAAAGACAAAGAAAGAGGTACTGACCAATCCAGAAGATTAGGATTTGAGAGAGCTCAAAGAATGGATGCACCTGCGCCATTGCAAACGATTTTGAGCCATGTCATTCAAGGTCTCTAACCATCGGTGACTTCGTTTTCAGTTGGAAGATATTAACCACCCACACACTTTCAGATTTCCCTAATATTTCTTATGTTCTTATGTACAGAACGCTTCCTCACCAACTCTAACTTTCGTATATTACAGTTGAACCTAACAAGTAGGATTTAGGAATTATTATTCCTTTATATTCCAGCCTTGATATGAAATCAGATGAATGGTCGAAATTCTGAGTATCTCAGATCTATCATGATGTTTTATGCACTTTTATGACTGACTGTCAATACTATTGTAGTGAACGAGAACACAGGTGAGGGCAACCGATTTGTATTTAACGAAAATTACAGCGTTAATCAGTAAAATCGGAAAACCATATCGTAAATCGTTAATTTGCAAAATATCAGTTCATCATATCGAACTGCACTGTTGTTCCTGTTGCAAAACATCAATCCATTGTCACTATTCATGCGTTTCATACAAATTCCATTGTGTTCCCGCTCTTCTTCCTTTCTTGATCTTCCCCCATCTTCTACTGCCAGACATTACGTTTACACTCACGTCATATACTACTTATAAGTAGCTCGCACCACACTATTATTCTTTGCTAACAACTTTTTGACCATTTACTTTATTTATTATATATAAACTGACTTCGTATACAATCTCATATGTTGTTGTTGTTGTTAGGGATCATTATATTCAAGTTTCAACAATGATTCCATACAAAATACTACTACTACTACTACAACACTTGGTACCGGTTATACGGTGTATGCAACAGTGGCACCGAAAGATTGTATACAAATATGGGATTTGAGAGAAAATCGTTATCCTATATTGAAATTGGCTAGATTTTCATCAGAAATCTATTCAAGTGGATCAAGTAGAAATGTACTCACTCCACCAGTCACTGCAGCATTCAGTCCATGTGGAACTAAATTGTTAGTCGGTGGTACAGTGGATGTCAACCAATCATCACCGGTTATATATGATGTACGGAAAGCTTGTGCACATCCGCTGGCTATATTAAATCATGAAATACGAATGAATAATACTAGTCCAGCTACTGCAGTCGATTGGCATCCATTAAAACCTGAGGTAAGTGATTACAATAGAAAAATTATTCATAGTGGATTGTATTTGTGAAAATTTGAACAACACAGAGATAATAAGTGAACAATAGTATTGTTTTCGATTAGTCAGTCAGTTAGTCAGTTGCAACGTAGAACTTCGTACGTAAGTACAATACCAGTTTCCTTGATGAGTCTGAATAGTAATTGACTACTATTGCCTATCGCCGCTGCCTTTTCCATCTCTCTCGCTTGCTCCACCCACCACTGTTTTCGATCATTGCGTAGGCTTTTTGTCAGCCTACGTCTAAGCTGACTCCGCTCTTCAGAGCCAGGCGGGATGAGTTTTTGAGCATCCATCAGTTCGGTTGATGCTATTGAGATCCACGGCTTTATCCTAGGCTTAAGGTTTACCTTACTAGCAGATATCACTGCTGTTTCCACAGCCTTTTTAATATCATTCCATCCTGCTTCTGGATGGGAATCACTTACATCGTTGCTTAACTCTCTTTCTAGTTGCTCCTGAAATATTTTCTTAGTTTGATTATCATTAAGTAAAACCCTAAGAGGCTTTCTTACGGTGTCTTTCCTACGCCCTGTAAGCCTCAAACAGATACGAGCTCGCACTAGGGCATGATCTGAATCTAAATATGTGCCCCAGAACGAGCGACAGTCCTCTATCGAACGCCTCCATCGATGGCTGACGGCGATATGATCTAGTTGGGTCCAACGTGGAGACGACTTTAGAGGTCGCCAGGCCAAGAGATGCTTTTCCTTATGCCTAAAGTTAGTGTTTGCTAAAAATAGGCCGTTGTCTGAGCATACTTGCAACAGACGGTCACCATTGTCTGTTCTCTGAGCCGCGACACCATAACATCCACCTAGGTGTCTTTCATTTTCACTCAGTCTACCTACTTGAGCATTGAAGTCACCAGCCATTATAACTATTTCAGAGCGCCTAGCTTTTTGGAGGAGGTTCGAAAGCTTTCTGTAAAACCCATCTTTAACCTCGTCTGAACTGCAGTCAGTGGGTGCATAGGCAGATATGACGAAGAGACAACAGCTTTACTCTCTAATATACATGAATATATTTATATATGAAAATGTTAAACCAATCAAGGCAATTAATGAGTCAATAATCACGAATTGAAATGAAACAGAGATTACGTCACTACACATACATAATAGGCAAAAGTACAAGTTGATAGTAGGAGGAAGACAGAGGTGTACTGATTGTAGTAGTAAGAAAATTATAAAATACGATAACAAAAGTTTATTTTTCGGGCAGAGTTTTGGAGGTTTTTGTGTTTTTACACATTCGAAATCACCAATCAATCAATCAATGTTAGACAACACCATTCGAAACCTGGAAGCACTGAAAGACGGCCGTTTCGTCCTGGTATAGGACTCATCAGTGGCAGTGCGTACCCACGACTCCTGTACCTCGCAGGATTCGAACCCGGGAACTTCGGTATTGTTCGCGAACGCCTAAACATCGGAGCACTGGGTGAAACGTGGATGAATAGATTTAAAATAATCATTACAAAACATTAGAACCATTACGTAATAAACGGAAATAGGCAGAGAGTTACTAACAGATACAGGGTGTGAAAATAATGCTAATAGAATTTAAACCCCAAAAAAAATTTTTTTCAAATCTTAAATCGTTAGTTACGTCATATCCGGCCAAGGAAGAGATATGGGTGTCACGAATTTCTTCTGAACACATAAATCGGGGTTAAATGTACGAATTCCTATGGCTTCTGTTATGTGTAGTAGACGGGATCGAACTCCGTTGGGAAATGATGAAGGTATACGAGGAAGATAACTCGAAAAGATCTAGACTGATCTATAATATGACCACTATCAACCAGGTGTGCTAAGATCGAACTACGTATTGATTGGTTCAACATTTTCATATATAAATATTCATGTATATTAGAGTATAGCCTGATGACGATCTAATCGAAAACAATATTGTTCGCTTATTATCTGTGTTGTTCTAACTGTATTTGTGTTAAAAAAAAATTAAACTGACACTTTCGGCGTTTTTATTTAAAAACTTAGATGAACATTGTAGCTTCTAAATCATAAAACTTATCGATTTTTGTCGGTGTTGAATTCATTGAGCCATAACGCTAAGCTTTTCATTGTCATTCTAAACATCCTCAGAGTTTATTTCATGTATAATTGAACCTTCTAATATTATTCCGTAAGTATTACATCAGTTCGTTTTGATAGCCTTATTTGTGGATTCCGTTAATGTGCAAAACGAAGGCTTAATGGTAAGGTTATTTACCTTTTTTAACTACTTAGTTTCAGCGTCAACTACTTCAATTCGAACTGTCAGGTAATAGTAAGATTATCTCTCATACTTAGAGTGTAACTCAAAGCCAAGTAAATAAATTCGTAATTGGTAATTGAATTATCCTTTGTTGTGATTAGACGATCTCTTCAGTGTGAGCTCACAGAGTGAGTGAGTCAATGTCGACGTTAATCGATAATTTAGCTGAATGACATGCTTAGAGGGATCCCTTAACACAATCAACCAATTAATCATAAGGTCAGAAGTTAATCTACCAAGAACGTTAACATAAATGCGATAAGAGATGATGATGACAACAGAATCTACAAACACAGTTGATCACGGAACAAGACCATCAGAACGAATTAATGTAATACTTACGGAAGATTAAAGATTCCCATTGTGAAAATTAGAACAACACAGATATAAGCGAACAATAGTGTTGTTTTCGATTAGATCGTCATCAGGCTTTACTCTAATAAACATGAATATTTATGTATGAAAATGTTTAATCAATCAAGGCAATTTGAGTCGATAATAACAGCTGCTCCTGTGCAGATACCTATATCGGGCGTATTCCCAGGCGACTTAACCAACAAATGAATGAACACCTCCCAGCGTGGTTTATGAAGGGCGAGTTAAAAACAATACGCAGTTCTATCTTAGCACACCTGGCTGATAGTGGTCATATTGTAGATCAGTCTAGATGTTTTCGAGTGATCTTTCTCGTATATACCTCCATCATTTCCCAACGGAGTTTGATCCCGTCTCGTACATGTAGCAGAAACCATAGGAATTCATACATTCCACCCGTTTATATGTTCAGAAGAATTTTGTGATACCTCTGTCTCTTAAGTGGCCGGATATGGCGTAAATAACGTTTTAAAATATTTTTTTTAATTTTATTTTAATATTATTAGCATTATTTTCACTACCTGTATTTGTTAATAATTTTCTGCCTCTTTCCGTTTACATTCTTCACTATCTTCTAATTATGTACACACTTCTTATTACGTAATGGTTCTGAAGTATTTTGTAATGATTATTTTATTTTAAGTCTATTTAACCACGTTTGACCTACTATTGATAGAAACTTACGGAATAATTGGAAAGCTCATTTCCAATCTGAATTAGGCTCTAAAGATGTCGACCAGAACGACAAGCAAAGCTTAACAATTAAAATAGGTGGCCCAGAGAACAGAACACCGTTCAAAAGCAATCACCTGCTGTAAATATTCTTTATCGTTTCATTTTTTAGACAAAAAAAAACACTAAACAAGATATCTGTGTATTGATAATAAAAACTCGATTTATATTTAAAAAGTTATTACGACAAACGTTTTTAAAGAATACTTCATATCATCTGTTAAACGAAACACAATCATCTAAGTTTATTAGTGTTGCATATCGGTCAGTCAGTTGCAACGCAGAACTTCGTACGTATTATGTACGGCAGTTCAGGTTGATATACCAAATTAGCACAGAGACGCAATTGTCAATTCAAATCCCATAGTAGTAGCGGTAGTACAAGTATTAGCCGTAATCAAAAGGATTAATGGTCGAATATTATTATTCGAGATGTATACCCCAGAGCGATCAGTCAAAAAAAAGGGTAAAAACGATCATGAGGAATTCAGTAGATTAGGATTTGAGAAAAGACAAATAATAGCTGTATCTGCACCATTGCAAACGATTTTGAGCCATGTCATTCAAAGTCTCTAATCATCAATCACTATCATCTCGCGGAACCCCTAACCAGCTAGTCTACATTTACCAACATAACTCAATTCAGTTGTCAGTGACTTCATGGATTTCTGCCATGTTTTTGGTTTGATCTCCCAATGTCGCATATACTACTAGAGTACAATAAAAACTTCAATTGTCTACTACGAAAAATGATGGTTTTTTTAATTTTGATTTGACCCATTTGTATGATTCAGTTTTTAAAACACACTTAATCAAGTACAAATGTACACAAACCTTTTTTTATATGACTTCATTTAAAAATGCTCATCACCTAACTGCGAAATTTTCAAGTCAGTCAGTCACTTAAAAACTTAAAAAGTATATATATATATATATAATCACATTTTGACACAAATTTATTTATTTGATTCAATTCATAGGTATCTACCGGTTCTCATGATGGCCTATTGTCAATCTATGGAATTCATAAACCATAACATTAAGTAACACAACACACACTGCATCATCCATGGATGCACTACAAATGATGCACTGCCCTCATTGTTGTTATTACTTATTTTGTTAAAATTACTTCTTTTTTCAGTTACTGTTTCATATTTTTATGTTCTATGAAGAATAATAAATTGGTTGTATTTTTTTTTGGAATTGAACTAACTATATAATGTACATATGTAACATATTCACAACTAAAATAGTCAAATAAAATACAAAGTGACTACTAACTTTTTATCAATTTTAATGAATTGTCTATATATATATATATATATATATATATATATATATATATATATATATATATATATATATATATATATATATATATATACATATATATATGTGTAGGGATAACCACGGCTTACTTTAGAGAAAGGAGAAAACACACTGACTAGTTTTAATATCATCAGTCAGTCAGTTGCAACGTAGAACTTCGTACGTATATACATAAGTTCATGTTGCCATACCACATCAGCACACACAGAGACGCAAATGTCAAATCAAATCCCATAGTGATAAAGATAGTAGATGTATTAATGGTCATGAAGAAGACTAGGGTTTGAAGATATTATTAAAGAAGTATAATTCAGTGAGGTAAGGTTACAAAGACAAGGTAGAGGTGCTGACGATTACAGAAGATTAGGATTTGAGAGAGCACAACGAATGGATGCACCTGAGCCATGTCATTCAAGGTCTGTAACCATTGGTGACTTTCGACCACGTAGCCTACATCTACCAACATGACCCAGTCCACTTGTCAGTGATTTTATGGATTTCTGCCATGTTTTGGTCTGGCCGCCCCTAGCTTTCTTCCAGCCTACTCCTACACCACAAAACATAGCTCGTCGAGGCAGTCGGTGGTTAGGCATTCGTAACACATGTCCCAGCCACCTCAACAGACGAAGTTGTTGTATATTATATATTTGAAAGCTTAGCTTTCATAGTATTTAAGCTGTTGTAGATAACTAGTATAAGACTCATCAGTAGGGGTTCATCCATAACGTCCGCACACGGAATTCAAACCTGGAACCTTCGGTCTCATCCATGGACGCCTAACCTCTAGACCGCTGTGTTAATGTTTAACTTGAATCAATCCATGATATTGCGCGACCCCATCTATTGACTTTGACGGTTAGTTGACTCACACCCAAAAAAAGTGATCACTAATGACTACCTTCGTCAGGAAATCCTCGGAATTCTAGTTAGGAGCCGTGGTGATCAGTAGAGCTCGACCGTGTCTGGTTAAGCGTCTGCGCGCGAGCCCGAAGGTTCTGGGTTGAATCTCCGCGTATGGGCCGCGTGAATGAGCACAGCTGACGAAGCCCATACTAGGACAAAACGACCATCCAGTGCTTCCATGTTTATGTCGGTGATCTAAAATTGATCGGCTCATGATTCCAGTGAAAAACAGATAACTTGTTGACATATTTCGATGTTAGCATGTAGGTAAGCCGGATATTCAAACCGCCTACCTACCTATGTTTTTTTGCGGGGTACATTGTTCTTTATCATCAGCAGTGGCAGGTTAATAGCACATAGTGATTTTTAACTTCTGACCATAGTATTGCAATAATCATTCTATCAATCTAACGGATAGTTCTTAAACATTTTTGAGCTAAAATGTTCGAGCATTTTACAAGTGAATGCGTATTTTGAAACTTCATACTTTCCAAGTTGGAATAGGTCATGTAATGATTTTAATCAAAGAATACTATATTAGTACAAGCGAGTCATCAAAAGTTCTTTAGCGATATCATCAACTGAGGTTAGTCAGTTAGTCAGTCAGTCAACGAGGCATACTACAAATTAAAACAATCTCCATAAAAAACAAACAGATAATTACTCTTCGATAGATTTATTTACATTCATACATATTAGTAAGTGTAGTAACGAAATGATAGTAATAGTAATAATAATGATAGTTACACAGCATTGTAAAATAATAAATTTGATTCATGACAATTAAACAACAAGTCTTGTTTTTTTTTTCATTTTCTGTTCATTGAATAAACAAGTGGGAAATATCATTCAATATTGTCTATTGTATATTAGCCAACTTTCGATTTTTTTCGTCCAAATGAAAATAATGGATTTTGTGATTTACGCTAAAAAAAACAGGATAATAATAATAATAATATTGACGATAATGAAAAGTCAACTTCTAGATGTATGTATATATGTTTATAATGATAAAAATAATACAGTTTACTATTTTTCTGACTAATACATTACTTACCTACTTTCGTCTGTTACCTCCAATGGAACATAGGCCGCTGACCAGTACTCTCCAACCTACTATGTCCTAGGCCTTCCTTTCCAATTCTGTTTAACTGGAGTTCATTATTCTTATGTCTGGCCCCATTTCTCGGTGTAATGTGTTCCTTAGCCTTCCTCCTTTCCGTTGGCCTTGAGGATTCTAAGTGAGGGCTTGTCTTGTGATGCAATTGGATGCTGTCCGTAATGTGTATCCTATCCTTAGGAGTAGAGGACATTCGTAGGTTACTAGTCTTCGATCATATGTGTTTCCAAAGCATTGCACGTGTATCGTTGAACGACCGGGTAAGCAATGCTGTCGTTAGGAAACGAGTTCTAGGTAGGGATGGCAAATCAATAGATGAAGCATTGAAACTTCATCAGTTGAGGTGGTTGGGACATGCGTTACGAATGCCTAACCACCGACTGCCGCGACAAGCTATGTTTTGTGGTGTAGGAGTAGGTTGGAAGAAAGTTACTGACAAGTGGACTGAGTCATGTTGGTAGATGTAGGCTACCTGGTTGGGGTCCGCGAGACGATAGTCACCAATGGTTAGAGACCTTGAACGACATGGCTCAAAATCGTTTGAAATGGCGCAGGTGCATCTAATCTTTTTGTTCTCTCTAATTCTAATCTTCTGAACTTCTCATGATCTCTATCTTTCTCCTTATAAATTTATCTTACTGAATTATACTTTTCGAATCATATCTTCGCTCCCTAATCTTCTCCATTGCTGCAAATAATACTACTATCGGTATCACTCTTGGATTTGAACTGACAGTTGCGTCTCTGCTGATGGGGCATGGCAACCTGAACTGATGTACTTACGTACGAAGTTGTGCGTTGTATCTGTCTGTCTGTATCCTATCCACTTCCACTGCTTCTTCCTGATTTCCTGCTCCGCTGGAATTTAGTTTGTTCTCTCCTACAGTAGGTTGTCGCTGGTGATGTCTGGCCAACTAATCCGAAGTATTTTGCATAGACAACTGTCAATAGATACTTGTATCTTCTGGATAATGACTTTCGTAGTTCTCCAAGTTTCCGCCCCATACAGTAGAACTGTCTCGACATTTGTACTGATAATTCTTTGTGTTGGTTATAAATAATATTTTAACGTCCCATTTCCTCTGGATTAATCTCCAACCTACTGGTTGGTTATCAATGGTTGGTAGATTGGGGTTTCGGTCTATTAGTCTATTGAATTGTTGTGTCAAGATTCTTAAAGTTTACTTAGCCTTTGCTTGTTTACTTTAGTTAAAATGTGAACATTCTCTCTGACAAACTCGCGTCTGCAGTTATCTTACAAGCATCGATATGAATGAAGATAAATTGTGATAACCGACAGCTGCTAATGAATATTCATATCAGCAAAAATTAAAAAAGGCAGCTATTCTATTTGATGTAGTTGCTCGCACAAACATTTAACTTGTCTTCTCTCATCATTACACAATTCAGTTTGGATGGTATGAGTTGATCAGGTTTTACTAATCAATGATTCCGATGATCCTGAACGGACTCAGTCGTTCGAACTGAGAGGATACTGGAATCTTAAAAAGTCACAAAGTTCGCAAAATTTTTAAAAGTCTCTTGGCAAATAGTTTACACAGAAGCTGAGAAGCAAATTGTCAGACTATCTACCACCTAAAAATAGGCACAACCGATGGTAGGATGTAGGATAGTTTCAAGGAAAAATATCGATCGAATGAACCCAAATGCCCTGGTACAGCTGAGATATGGGAGAGTCTGATCTTCCTTACCGAAATGCTCTTATATGGCTATGGAAGTCTTACCCAGTACATTTTTGTGGCGATGTTGTTCACAGAATTAGGAGAAAGAAAAGCGAATGTTCAGTGCTTAAACCGGGTTGATGGATACAGAGGATACACCTAGAAGCGTTGGAAAACCCTGATTTTAAACCACCGGTGCACATAGGTTACATGATGCTGAAGAATCGGATGGTATATGAGCATATTGTTCGTCACCAGCTACCATGGAATTGCATTTCCTGGTGTTGCTCCATTGCCTCATAGATTATACTTCTAGATTAAATACTTGGAGGGTGGCTACGGTTTGGGCACTCGGACAGTATCTCATTCCATACAAAAACTCAATAATTTGTGCGGCGTACAAATACTTAGATAGCTCTTCGCAACAACGTTTATGTGTTCAGGTAAATAAAGAAAAAATGTCAGAAAAAAACTTGCTATCAGTAGGAAACACATTTGATTAATGATATCCTATTATGTGTCGTTGATCGATTTATCAAAAAAACTAATAATTACTCTTTCCCTAAAGAAACAAATATATTGAGTGTGCGTGTACTTCGTGTCAGACATCAAAAAAAGGCAATAGAATCTTCACAAACTAACTTACTTTTTTAGCTTGTTTATGTTTAAGTTGTAATGACTTTTTCAAATCACCTGATGTAGTATTCGATTGATGATTATCTGTGTGTAAATTTCTTCGTTTCCATCTTTGACTAGCTTTACGATTATGACAACTATTTGGCATAAGTGCTTTTAACGATTGAGGAACTAGAGAGAATAATAAATTTAAAATAAAACAAATTAAAAATGAACTCATAGAACATGTATAGGAGAGGAAAAACAAACAGACCAAAGACTATTTATTGACTAGTTAACTGAGATTAAAAGAAAAAAATCACTTTTAATGAACTAAATATATCACAAGGTCAAGCGTTAACTAATCAAGGGCAACAAGCAGAAGATAAGACGTGATTGGCTGACTGCTAATGAAACAAGATAAACGCATTCAACATGAGACTACTGATTTCTACTCAATAAACTATTGTCCAGTCTATTCTTATTGGCAATTATTAGTCTGACAATGAGTATATGTACACACACGTGACCTATGGTTATCTGATGGTCCAGTCCCATTGATCGACTGGATTATAAAGACATCAACATCTAAGAGGAAGCATGGGATACAGTGGACAACTATGACGCAGCTGGACGATCTAGGCTTTACGGATGATCTGGCTCTTCTATCGCATACGCAACAAATGCAAGAGAAGGTGACCAGTGAAACAGCGGCCTCAGCAGGGAAAAGAAAGATCCTCGGATACAACACAACATGCACAAACCAAATCACACATGACAGAGAAGCTATAGAAAATGTAAAAGCCTTTACATATCTGGGCAACATCATTGATGAACAAGGTGGATCTGATGCAGATGTGAAGGCGCGGATAGGAGAAACAAGGGCTGCATTTTTACGACTCAACTACATCTGGAACTCAAAACAACTACCAACCAACACCAAAGCCAGAATTTTTAATACAAATATCAAGACGATTCTACTGTATTGGGCGGAAACTTGGAGAACCACGCAAGCCATCATCCACAAGATACAAGTATTCAGTAACAGTTGTCTACGCAAATTATTTCGGATTCGCTGGCTAGATACTATCAGTAACAACCTATTGTGGGAGAGAACAAACCAGATTCCAGTGGAGGAGGAAATCAGGAAGAAGCGGTGGAAGTGGATAGGACACACATTGAAGAAATCACTCAACTTCATCACAAGACAAGCCCTCACTTAGAATCCTCAAGGTCAACGGAAATGAGGAACGCTAAGGAACACATTACGTCGAGAAACAGAGAAAGATAGGAGAAGAACAAACAGTGACTGGACAGAACTAGAAAAGGAAGCCCAAGGCAGAGTAGGTTGGAGAATACTGGTCAGCGGCCTATGCTTTATCAGGGATAACAGGTGTAAGTAAGGTTCAGATTCTCTAATGCAATCTTGCTTGATAAAGTGTGACAAGCCTTTTGTATTACGTAATCCGTTTGAAAATATTGTCATCAACAAGAAGAGTCATAGTTTTGTCCACTGAAATAGTCTATTCATCATCATCACCATAAAGTGTTGTATTTCATGAAATAATTAGAGTAGTTTGAACCTGTACAACAGCGATTAAAAATCAAGTTTTAGTTGTTTCTTATTTAACCTCATAGCTCGATAAAAATGAGCTGATATTACAAATACTAGAGTAAGTATGAAACAGACCTACAAACTACGTATGTAGCCAAAAAAAGAACCCTGATTTAACCAAGTTTATTTTATTTAAGCATAATTATTTGTACAGAGTGGCATCTGAATAATTATGCGCAACATAAATCATTGTCTGGCTTCCCAAACCGAATCTGGTGAGTTTTTCTCAGGGGATCACTACTCCCCGAACCCTTGGATCTACAAGTCGAATCGAAAAGACAGTGGAGCAACTTAAGAAGATAGTCTCATGGTAGCCAGTGACCGAATTAAGTGAATAGGCCATTTGTTCCCTCGACATTATGGAGCCTTGTATTGAGTCAGGATTTTCCAAAACTCCTCTAGTTCAATCCATCGTATCCACCAACCTGGTTAAGGCACAGGATATTCGCTTTTTGTTCTGTTGATTTTTGTAAACAATACCACTGTCACGAGCAGACAGAACTAGTGTGGTGTGAGCTCTTATAAGTAGTATATGACGTGAGTGTCAACGTAATGTCTGGCAGCGGAAGATGGGGAGAGATCAAGAAAGGAAGAGTTAGAAAACAATGGAACTTGTATGAAACACATGAATAGTGACAATGGATTGATGTTTTGCAACAGGAACAGTCCAGTTCGATAGGATGGACTGATAATTTGCAAATGAACGATTTACGATATGGTTTTCCTATTTTACTGAGTAACTCTGTAATTTTCGCTAAATACAATTCGGTTGCCCCACCTGTGTTCTCGTTCACTACACTAGTAGGTCTTCCCTAGCACGTTTACGCATCTAGCTTCGAAATATCACTGAATTATACCCTAATCTTCTCCATTACTGCTAATACTTCTACTTAAATAACCGGATCGAAGTGTAAGAGCACGAATCTACCAATCTTAATCTATTGTAAATACACGTTGTCTTTATAGAACTTTACACGATACACACATTCATCACATATCATTAGATCAAAAGGATGAAGTCAGTAACATTATGCTTGCGTGTAACTGCCTACAACAATGAATGCTAAAATTAAAGTACTTGTGGAACACCATAAAAAAGTTGAATTATATTGGTGATAGCCTCTGACTGTATAAAAACCCAGTAATTATGTTAATTTTGCCGTACCCATTAATGACACTAATTTTCAAGGATTTTTTTAAATGCTGACCAGAAATAATTGAAGATATTGTCTATGAACTGTTCCAATTTATACATAGTCAGTCAGTCAGATGCAACGTAGAACTTGTTGCGTAAGTACATCAGTTCATGTCGCCATACCACATCAGCACAGAGATGTAATTGTCAATTCAAATCCAATAGTAGAAGAGGTAGTAAAGGTATTAGAAGTAATCGGAGAGGTTAAGATTAGAAGATATTATTCAAAAAGTATGATTAAATGAGAAAAGTTTAGAAAGTCAAAACTAGAAGTGTTGAAGAATTCAGAAGATTAGGGTTTGAGAGAACACAAAGAATAAATGCACTGGCGCTATTGCGAACGATTTTGAGCCATGTCATTCAAGGTCTCTAACCATTGATCATTATCATCTCGCGGACCCCAACCAGGTAGTCGACAATTACCGACATGGCTAAGTGCACTCGTTAATGACTTCATAGATTTCCGCCATGTTTTGGACTGGCCGCCCGTAACTTTCTTCCAACCTATTCCTACACTACAAAACAAAGCTCGACGAGGCAGTCGGTGGTTGGGCATACGCAACACATGTCCCAACCACCTCAACTGATGAATTGTCACTACTGCGTCTATTGATCAACGGTATCTTAAATGCAGCAGTCAATTTTTTCAGCTTTATTATTACGACTGTTTTGCTGTCTAAAAGTGACAAACAGTTCACTTCATTTTACTTTATCGAATTTGGTATGGAACATATTTATGGTCCTTAATACTGCTCTTGTTTAAATGACCTAAAACTATTGAAAAATGAAACAGTAGTCAAGGGGGATCAAAGCGCTCAATTTTAAATTATTACGTTGAGCGTTCAAAACAATGACATTATACAAATTCGATTGGGTTAATCTAATTTTACCCAATAAATTAATTAAAATCTGCATATCATCATCATCATCATCTTACCTAAATAATCTGGTACATCTTTCAAATGTGGTTGAGCAACATGTTTAAGTGGTTTATCATGACGTAGTGCTTGTAAATCAGGTATATGATCTTGAAAATAACCTTTCAATCGTTCTGAATTGAGTAGTTCAATTTTGATTTCTTTCAAACGTGCTTCTCTAATGACTTTACGAGTTATTTGACGTACAACATCCTATTTTAATAAACAGAATAAATACGATATATATTTAATTTTCCTCTAAATTGTATATTCTAAAACAATTGTGTATCAACTTGACATAAAACTTACAGCTGCTCTATATCTGAAACCATCCACTTCTGAAAGACGAAATTGATAAGGTCTGAAGATAGATGAAGCAACGCCTTCTGTAATTTAAAAAGGAAAGAATAATTTAAGCAACGCACTAAAGGATTTCATTGTTATGATGAAGTAAAAGAAACAATCCCCGACCGTAGCTGCTGCTACTACCTTGACGTGGTGTTGGTTGGGCTTGTCTATAGCGTGATGACCCAACCGAGCTAATATTGGCTGGGACTCATGTTCATGAAGGTTCTACCATGCCAGCTAGGCAAGTCGATTGGAGAACGATGAAACTAAAAGCAGCTACTCAAGGTCTGAGGGCGAAGTCGTACTGCTGACTGACTGTGGAGGGGTGTGACAGCAGTAAGGTGTTTCCCTCGAACAACCAGCACATCTGCAGCGATGCTGTCTGCTTCTCACAAGGAAGGTAGAGGTTAGAAAAGTTCGACCCTAAAAATGTCACACTTCACCCTACCTCACGGATTTCCGTCTCCGGCGGTAAGGGTGCTTGCTCACTAAGGGCCTTTAAGAGCGGAGCTAATACTCAAAAAAGCTTTCATAAAAATGCCGTGCGTGACAGACTGACTGAAAAGAAACAATCAGAACTAATGAATGCAACAAATATTTATGCTGATGATCAGTTAATTAGGTATTAGTATATCAAATGTTTTCTGGTTTAATTCATAGAGCTGATGTAAAACTCTGTAGGCTAAATACAATATGGTTATTGGGATAAGTAATTCAACATTGCGAGATATATTGTTTTGATATTACCTCGTTGGATTTGATTGTAGAGGAAACTGTGGATCCAGGTTTAGTATTAATGGTTAGTAAATAGTATTCACAATCTTATGGAACTAGATGCTCTTTGTATGATATGAATCAGCATCACACAGTGTTGCAGTCAGGAAAAAAACCGCTGTATGGTATGCGGGGATATATTGTTAAAAAACGGGTACTAGGTAAGGATGGCAGGTCAATAAATGAAGTATTGAAACTTCATCATTTGAGATGGCTGGGACATCTACGTCCAACCACCGACTGCCGCGACAAGCTATGTTTTGTGGTGTAGGATTAGGTTGGAAGAAAGCTAGGGCCGACCAAAGCAAAACACATCACAAATCCATGAAATCACAGACAAGTGGACTGAGTCATGTTGGTAGATTCAGGCTACTTGGTTGGGGTCCGCGAGACGAAAGTAACCGATGACATGGTTCAAAACGGTTTGCAATGGTTCAGGTCCATCCACTCTTTGTGATACCTGTAATTCTAATCTTCTGAATTCCTCATCACCTTTATCTTATTCTTTCCAAGTTTATTTCACTAGATTCTACTTCTTGAATAATATCCTCGAACCCTAATCTCTCCAACTACTGCTAATACTTCTACTACCTCTACACTACTATGGTATTTGAAGGACAATTGAGACTCTGTGCTCATGTGGTATGGTAACATGGACTGATGTACGTAACTGACTGACTGAGTGATATGTTTTTGTCCAGTTCTTTGTGCTGGTTCAGTTCTATCGACTGAATTCCATGTGCCCATTAATATGAAAAGGATCTGCAATCACAACATATCATTTTTATATTGGTTGATTACGTGATCAAAGGCAGTTGGGTTTTTGTAATACGTGAAGATTAGTACAAAGCTAGCCACTTTTAAACATAACAATGGACCAGTTTATTGATCTATTCAAAATGAAAACAATTCTGACAATCAGCATAACAATCCTTCCCGACAATAGTAACGACTTTACAAAATCGAAGCGAAATGAACGATGAAAACTACTTGTTAGGATATTCACCAAATATCCTAAGAGTACTATTTTTAGAAGTGCAATCCTATTGGCCGAAATTATGATCGTTCTAACCGTCAAGGTCAAATACTTCAATGTAGCTTTTTATTGGTCATCTGGACTGTTAATGTCATTCAAATGTGCTTTTCTATTGGTCGGCCTAAACTGTCAATGTCACAGACGTTGATGCTCTTTCTTATTCGACCTTAGTGTATAAATACGCACTATCTGAAAGACTTAATAATTCCGTTTCCCCTGCCTACCTCTTCTCCTGTATTCGACCCAATCCCACTTGGTCAGCAACATCACATACAAAGTACCTACTAAATAAAATGAGACCAATTAAGTCAACCTGTAGATGTCAAGGTCACTGCGTGGATTTTCAATTTCAATTCAATTAGCTGTAACAACAAGCTGTAACTGAATAAGATGTGACTTACTTTTTTCATTGGTTTCATCTGATTTCACTGCTGTTGAAGCCGCGGCAGCTGCTGCTGCTGCCGCCGCCGCACCTGCCGGATTCAGCAACGCTTCAACATCAGCCAAACGACTTTCTTCTGATTTACTAACAAATGAAATAGCAGTGCCCATTTGTTCAGCCCGAGCTGTTCGTCCAACACGATGCACATAAAGGATAGGTGTTGGTGGAAAGTCGAAATTGATCACATTACTGACCATTTGAAAATCAATGCCTCTAGATACACCATATTCCGTATCACGACGTCGTGATCTACTAGTAAGTTAACAAGGATAAAAAAAACCAGAAACAGAAATAATAAGAAATGCATTTCATGCGAATAAATTCCAAATGAATATTATATGTGTTAGGATATTCATCCAATAACCTAAGAGGATTATTGGACTAATCATATTGGTTAATTCCTACTAGTCAATCTTATGGTTGTCCTAGATATCAATGTCACGTGCTCCAATGTTGTTTCTTATTGACTGTCCTGACTGTCAATGTCACAGAATGCAATGCTATTTCCTATTCGACCAAAATGTATATATATGCATTATCTGTAACGTTTTATGACCAGGACCCAGTCCCGGATCCCTAGTACGGGATCCTGATTCTCTTCTGAACTCGGACCTCGTACTTTCTGAATGCTTGTAGAATACAGGTTCTACTTCATATCAAGTCTTCTTATTTTTTCTCAATATGGGATGTTGGAATAATCGGATTTGAGTAGCATGTTGTGTCGCCGGATCCTCGATCCTCGCTCTCGACTCCCGACTAGGTAAACTCGTAATAGATCAAGTATATCACGATGACGTGCTTACGTGCAGGCGTAACACATCCATTGCACACAGAGTGGATAACTTCACTATATCGGGAACAATTGTGTAAGAAAATAGAAAAGACTACGTTTACTATTGATATAAATTTATAATAGTATGTTAATCTCAAATGACGATGATTACGAGTGTAGAACGCGATAGAACGCAATAAACACAGACACTGGATGGATGAACTTAATGGTATAACTTTAAGATCTCGGTCTGTATAGTCTAAACACGAAAACATGAATTGAATAATTTTGATTTACTCTGGTTCGTTTTATTGTTGTTTTTCGCTCGTATTTTCGCAGATCAAAAAATCCTATAATTTGAAGTAATAAAGCAATCATTCCTATATAAGTATGATTAGATCTTCCAAATGTGTTCGGTCAGTCAGTTACAACTTAGAACTTCGTACGTACGTACGTACATCAGTTCAAGTTGCCACACCGCATTAGCATAGAGAGATCAAACTGTAATAAATTCAAATCACATAGTAGTAGAGGTAGTAGACGTATTAACACAGTAATGGAGAAGATTAGGGTATAGTTCAATGAAATAAATTTAGAAAGACAAAGATGGAGGTGATACGGAGTTCATAAGATTAGAATTTGAAAAAACACAAAGAATGGATGCACCTGAGCCATTGCAAGCGATTTTGAGCCACGTCTTTCAAGGTCTCTAACCATCGGTTACGACTGCCTGACGGACCCCAACCAGATAATCTACACACCTACCAACAAGGCTCAGTCCACTCGTCAATGACTTCATGGATTTGTGTCATGCTTAGGTCAGGGTGCCCCTAGCTTTTTTCAAGCCTATCTCTATGTTAAGCATGCGCGTAAACACGTCATTTGAGATGCTTGAACCTTAGTCGAAAAACGGGAGCGAGGATCGAGGATCTGGCGACAAGACAGACTACTCTAACCCCCATTGAGTAAAAGAAGACTTGATATGAAGTAGGACGTGTATTCTATAAGCATCCAGAAAGTACGACGTTCGAGTCCAGAAGAGGATAAGGATGCCGGGATAGGGATCCGGGTCCGAGTCATAAAACGTTACAGATAATGCGTACTTATACAGTTAGGTCGAATAGGAACCAACACTGAAGTCTGTGACATTGACAGTTCGGACGACCAATAGGAAACAACACTGAAGTATGTGGCATTTATAGTTAGGACGACCATAATATTAAGCAGTAGGAATTAACCAATAGGAATTGACCAATAGAATTAGACTTACAAATAATTCTCATAAGATAATGGATGAATATCCTAACACTCTATACCACAAAACATAGCTAAAGTCCGCCGGTGGCTCAACTGATGAAGTATTGAAACTTCATCATTTGAGGTCGTTGGGTTCGACCTAAGTTGCCGTTTATCTCACTGGAACAGCGCAGGAGGAAATTAGCCAAATGAAGAGCGAAATAACTGGATTATCGGTAGTAGAAATTTAGTATAGTGAACATCGTTGAAAAAGAACAAATGAAATAGAGAAATGGAAATATGAATTAATACTAACACTCAGGATCTAGAGAAAGACAAATAAGGAATATAAATATTCTAGGTCGTATCATCCAAGGTCAACAAGCACTCATCAAAGTTAATGTGAACCCCAAACAGGAAGTCTACACCCAAAACACGACTCAGATCAACAGTCATTGACTTCGACAACTGAAGTCATGTCTTCAATTAGTCGAGAGCCTAGTTAGATTCCAGCCTACTCATATAACAGCCATCACTGGAAACGGAAGTACTCAGTAGATGATCAGATATGAAAGATAATTCAATTACTAGAGTCAGTAGTAGTTTAAATCATCAAAAGATTTGTAATCGTTACTTAGTACTGCATACTTACATTTCCAAACCATATTGATAATAAAACAGGGAAATCAAATACGATGTCTAAGGAGTGAAATTTAACTAGTACATACTTTTTAAATGACTTCTTATCCGCTTCATTATTCGGAACATTATGATCTGCTTGTGACTCATCAGTTGCCAATAAATAGTCGTATAATCCTCTATTGAATTGGTCGATAACATGAGAACGTGACTTGACTGGTAGTTCAGAATTTAACAATGCTGCTCTGATTCCAAATTCTTCCAAAAATAAACGGAGCCTGAAAAAAAAATAAGATGTTTTACGTTGATTAAACAAATGGTAGACTCAAAGTCGTTATGATTTTTGTTAGTGGGACATAGATGGAAATAAAGCATGACTACGTCGCTGCGCGCTGACTGGCTAATTTCCTATCTAATCAGCGCCTGATCGATTCTTGGAGAACAGGGTAGAAGATTCTCGTGTTGTTAGTTAGCTGCACGCTGATTGGCTAAATCTAATCCAGTCGACCATGTGAATTACAATCCAGAAGCTTTTCGTGTAAATACTATAAAGAAACGAACGTTGTATCTATTTTGCCTTCGACTTCGGCTTCTTATTTCCATTTAACCTTGCTATTTGGAATATAATCTTTTTTCTGTTCCACCATGTTCTTGATTCTTTGGAACTTGTCCAGTGTACTGTGGTCAGAGAATACTAAGCAATAGGAATTAGCTGGGAATTATTCAAGCGAGCGTTTCAACAATTTTGAAATTGAACAAATAATTTGCTAGGATGCTGACGTAACGAGTGGCGTATGTACACGTACTGTTGGTCACCGGCTATAATGGGACTGTCCCTTTTTCTCATATGTTTGTTTTGATGTAAATGAGAGTAAATTGCCATTTTAAAGTAATTAAACTAGATTGCTTTACAGTTTAACAAGAAAGTAAATCAGAGCTTAAAAAATTATAAAATAACTCCAGACAACCAACTTACTTGTAACATCGGTCAACAGAGTTAGTGAAAATCAATGTTTTCCCACGAACTATCTTCAATTTGAATAAAGCAATTAAAATGGCATATTTATCCTCATCTTCAGCACTTTCAAAAAAAAGGGAACAGATTATGGTGAATGTATACAAATTCAAAGTATGAAATATTGATTAAGTTATAAAAAACACTAATAAATACTCGGGCGTTGATTCCTACTTTTATGCACATTGTATGTATGCGCACCATAAATCAGCTAAATGCTAGTAAAACTCGTGTGCTGTTACGGGTATGAGGGCGGTTGTCACTTCCCGGCTGCCCACACCGTGGAAGGTTGTTTCTTGAGGAACCTGAAAAGGAAGGTAGATTAGTGTTGGTCTTGGAGACCTGGGAGCGTGACCGCAGAGTCCAAGGGACAACTGTTTGAGGCCGGTCACGCACGGCCTTTTTATGAAAGGTTTTTTGAGTATTAGCTCCGCTCTTAAAGGCCCTTAATGGGCACCCTTACCGCCGGAGACGGAAATCCGTGAGGTAGGGTGATGTGTGACATTTTTAGGGTCCACCTTTTCTAACCCTTCCTTCCTTGTGAGAAGGCAGCATCGCTGCAGATGCTGGTTGTCCGAGGGAAACACCTTACTGCTGTCACATCCCTCCACAGTCAGTCAGCAGTACGACTTCGCCCTCAGACCTTGAGTAGCTGCTTTTAGTTTCATCGTTCTCCAATCGACCTACCTGGCATGGTAGAACCTTCAGGAACATAAGTTCCAGCCAATATAGCTTGATCGGCTCATCACGATAGGCAAGCCCAACCACCACGTCAAGGTAGCAGCTTCGGCAGCCTAGTATAACTAAAGTTTATTGTCATTATTGACTAGCTACTTTGTATAGTATTGCATAATTATTTATCATGGTGTATAGCACAAAGTAGGACACTGAAGTATATCACTTTATTTCTCTGAGAGGAATAAGAGTAAGCATGTGAATATTTCTTCAACGTATCATGTTTTACGTATACATTACACATATATTTTATTGCTAATAATGTATGATGATTACTGTTCACGTATACGTTAATACTGAATTCCTATGAAAACAATTGAATGGAAAATATATCTGAAAAATATTATTGGATGTTAAATCCTCTTAGAGTTAACATTAAGCTAGTCAGATTTTTCAGGGGTTGACCATCTACCAGGAAAATCGCTTACTGATCTAGAATATGCCGATGACATAGTTCTATTTGGTGAAGACGATGACAAAATGCAGTCTTCCGACTACCATAAGCAACAATGCAAGCATGTTCGGGATGAGGTTTCCCCCTCGAAATGCAAAATGTTGCTTCAAGACTGGGTTGCATCGGCACCTGAACTAGTGATAGGGAGTGAAGTAGTCGAACGTGTAGACCGCTTCACTTATCTTGGGAGTCTCATCAGTGCTGATGGCCTGGTGACTGACGAAATCTCAGCATGGATACAGAAGGTTCGATTGGCTTTTGCCAACCTGTGTCACTTATGGCGTAGGCGTGATATCCGTTTGCTGACTAAAGGACGAGTGTACTGCGTAGCAGTTCGCTCCGTTCTCCTATATGGATGCGAAACATGGCCAGTGAGAGTAGAAGATATTCGTAGGTTACTGGTTTTCGATCATAGGTGTCTTCGAAGCATTGCTCGTATATCGTGGAACAACCGAGTAAGCAATGCTGTCGTTAGTAAACCAGTACTAGGTAAGGATGGCAGATCAGTAGATGAAGTGCTGAAACTCCATCAGTTAAGGTGGTTGGGACATGTGTTACGAATGCCTAACCACCAACTGCTGCGACGAGCTATGCTTTGTAGTGTAGGAGTAGGTTGGAAGAAAGTTAGGGGCGGCCAGACTAAAACATGGCAAAAATCCATGAAGTCACTGACAGGTGGACTGAGTCATGTTGGTAGATGTAGACTACCTGGTTCGGGTCGGCGAGACGAAAGTCACCAATGGTTAGAGACCTTGAACGACATGGCTCAAAATCGTTTGCAATGGCACAAGTGCATCCATTCTTTGAGCTCTCTCAAATCCTAATCTTCTGGAATCGTCAGCACCTCTACCTTTGTCTTTCTAACCTTATCTCACTGAATTATACTTCTTTAATAATATCTTCAAACCCTAGTCTTATTCATTACCATTAATACCTCTAGTATCTTTATCACTATGGGATTTGATTTGACATTTGCGTCTCTGTGTTAATGTTAACTTACGTACATACGTACGAAGTTCTACGTTGCAACTGACTGACTGAATGGATGTGAGCAATTTTACTTAAAGGAAAAATGAAAATATTAAAATCAAACAACTGACGATATACCTGATAATATATTGTGTAAGCTGGCTGTCTCCTGGTAGGAAAGCTTCATCAGGCAACTCTACACGTACCCAATCAGCATTTTTTACCAAATACCGTCTTATAACTTTGGATGTGTCATCCAGAGTAGCGGACATTAAAATGGCCTTTAAAAAAAAGCATAAAAACATGTTAGAAATAAGCCTACAGATATATCTCATGTAATAAACTATTTAGTGATTTATGCCTATATTTACGAATTCACTACCAGTAGGAAATGTATGGCTACATTCACAATAAGTACGGTCATCAAGCTTTTTATTTTCTAGATTAACCCATGTTTGGAATTTCACGAATTTTCTGAGCAGTTCAAAATGCAAACTACAAAACGTGAATTCATGAAATGGGGTTGTTGTTATTATTAAAATGGGAAATAAACTGGCCATAAAGAAATGTTATTAGGACGCAAGTGACAAAAATTCGAAACCACAGAAATATACATAATACAAAATCAAGTCTATGCCAACGACAAAATGTAGGTGTATAATAGCACACCTACGAAAACCAGACTGCAAAAATCTCAAAACTTTGGCAGATCATAAAATAAACTAGATGATTGCGCAGCAAAAGTCATCGATTCAAGAAATATAATGAGTAAAAATACGTTAATTACCAACCAAATTATGTCATAATTCTCATTGCTATTAAAAATATGCCCTCAGGTATGGCTGAGTGAAGACAGTTCGATCACCCTCCGCAAACGCTCTCACATAACCAAGCATATGTAACGAGTGGCGTATGTACATTGTGATAGTCACTAGCTATCATGAGACTGAATCTTCTTACGTTGCTCCAATGCTTTGTGGATTAGACCTGTGGATCAAGAGCTCGACGCGTGGTTCTTGTACAATCATCTGTTTCGCTTTCGATGCCTAGACAGTATTCCAAGCCAGAAACAAATTCAATGACTTGTGTGGTGCATATATATTTATATACTGGTGTCCCTTTGTAGTATAGTGTGTATTTAAATGGAAAAAGATGAATACTATAACCCAGAAAGTACAAGCATGCTTACATCAGGTAAACTCTTATCACCGTCAGTAACTTAATCTGTTATTTTACGTTATTCTTAACAAAGACCAAACATAACAAGTATGACTGGGTTCGTTTCTAAACAGCAAATCTAAATAGCTATTTAAGCTTTTTTCCCTTTATCTTGAAGAAAACCACTAACTTTACGCGGTTTGAAATGTATCAGGGAAAAAAGGTAGTATCAGGTATTAAATATAGGTTAAAACCAATTTCATTTGTACTAATGCATACATGCAAATCTAGCAAGTTTTAGATTCAGCGAAGAGAACCAAGAGCCTGGTATTGAGTCAGACTACATTTTATAGATTTTAGAGGTTTGTAAAAAACACTACCACCCTTGATGATAAACAACTTATTGCTGCGGAACTACAATTTATGGATGAAACAATAAGACTCAAGCCAACAAATTCCGACTTGGAAGCAAAATCCATACGTTCATATGATTGAACGGCATTTTAGCATTTTAATTGGTGTCGTTGATTGATGAAAACATTAACTGTAATCCCTAACCCAACTTTCAACACTAACCTAATCCCTGATTCCCCACACTAATTAACAATACTCAGGACAGTGAAATTCCTTAAGGTCACTTTGGGATGACTCAAAAGTCGTTCATAAATTATAGTCCCATTCTGTACTTATTATCAATACAATCGAATTGAGTAAAACAAGATATTTTATTCTCCGACAAGAACTTACTTGGATCTTTGAAGGAAGATAGGATCTTAGATCACGAATCTCAGCTTCATGACCAAATGTGAATATAAGGTCAGCTTCATCTACGACAATACAACTCAGATGTTTAAGTGATAAAATTCCAGAACGTAAGACTTTCATAAGTCTAGAAGGCGTTCCTATTATTATATCTGGGTTTTCCAATATAAGAGGCCTATACGAACACGTTTTTATGAATTGATTTACTTTATTTGATCAATGTCATGACCAGTAGATATATCAACTGACGAAATACTTTTAGCAGCATATTTGCAAAGACACTTGATATTACTGGCAACTTGTGAACATAACTCTTTTGTTGGCGTAAGGACAATCACTGAAGTAGATTGACATGAAGCAAGCTAAGAAGGTCAAAATCCATCTGATGTTACCTGTTTTTCTTGCAACAGATCATTCAAAATTGGTATCGCAAACGCAGCAGTCTTACCAGACCCCGTTTTAGCATGTACTACAATACATTTTTTGGCGAAAACCAATGGTATAACGACTTGTTGAATATCAGTGGGTTTTACCCATTTCATATCAGAAATAGCCTGTAAAATTTTGCATATTATTAATGATGCCATTACCTTCAAGATTCTTTGGTCGAGGTTTAGTTGGTGAAACTCACTGACAGGTTCCATGCTTAAATCCAACGCACCTTTCGAACTACCCACGATAACGTCCAATAGTAGCAGGCCTTACTTTTCAGTTCAATATCAGTATTAAGGATAGCAGGTCGATCGACCTCTGTTAATCCTTATGGGAAGTTTTCCAGTGAAGAGCTAGATAATCCTTAAAAGTATTGACAGATGAAAATGCTATCACTTGTTCGAGTAAGACGTTTAAGTTGCTGACTACTCGATATGAAAGACTGAATCTCACTTTCAGCTTATTGAATAACTGTTTTGGGACCCTTTTCCGGTGGCCTCGAGGATGACTAGTTCTTGAGTCAGCTGGAAGATAAGATACGTAAACAACCAGGTCATTATACAAGATTCGGAATGCAAAAATAACATTATAGAGGTAAATAAATCTCAGAAATAGATAGCTCCACGATTCTTCTTCACAATTTTTTAGGCCATGCAACCCATCAACTAGCAAGCTTAGTCCACTCACTTGTCGACACACTAACCGTCATTTAAATATACCTTCGAACTTTCTCATTCCTAACTTCTGGTTCGACTTGCATTTTGGTATACTCAACCTGAATGGTGTCACGGACAAAACTGTTGTCCCGCTCTGTATATCCATGACATCCTCACGATCCAGTGGTCTACCATCAGATAAATGGAAAAGGATGGGAAGTTTTAAGCGCCTATCCCAACGGAGGTCAGAAAAACCTGTCACTCACTTATTTACTACACTCTGGATACGCTCATGTTGTATAGCATCCTAATTCAGCGGCTTGAATGCAACACTTTATATGTAGTATTGGTCAAGCAAGCTTTCATAAACTCGTGTACAGCACCATTCCTGCTAGAGCCGTAAGTGAGAAACCTTATCGAACCCTCAGCTAAAATCCATAAATATCGCAGTGAATGATAAACCGATATCTTGGGCTACTGTTCGGTTCTCTCTCTCAGTTAGTAAGTCAGTTAAACATGTGCTTACCCCGAAACCCGTGTTGCTGAGGTGTTAACAGACTGTATAGTTCTACATGACTTAGTAACTTAGTCCAAATCATTTTTTTAAGTAACTTAACTATTATGCAGGTTAAGCGGGCAAGTCAGTATCTGTTGACGATCTGCCTCCTATATGCTCAAACAGGTGGACCGCTCTTTCAGATACTTTAGGGAGATAACCTCGATGCATTGGCTGTAGCGGAGGATGATGCTGCACGATCCGAAAATTTAATATATCATAATAATTCCGTAAAACGTTGACTATCTTCTCAGGAACTCCATAGTGTTGACGAAGCCCAAAGAGTGCCGACCTGTCCATGCTGTCGAATACTTTATCGTAGTCAATGAAGTTGATGTGTAGTGGCGAATTCCATTCAATTGACTGTTCCACAACCACTGGAAGTGTCACGATTTGATCGGCACATGATCGATCCTTACGAAATCCAACCTGTCAATCTCGAAGTTGGGTGTCTACTGAATCCTTCATTTGGTTTAACAACACTCTGTTGAAGACTTTGCCTGCAGTTTTCACACTTGCTAAAATCTCCTTTCTTTGGTATCTTGATCAGGTATCCTTCTTTCCAGTCTGTTGGTACTTGTTCTTCATCCCAGATCTTGCTAAAGAGAATGTAAAATATTTTTGAAGTCGCTGCTACGTCTGCTTTCATTGCATCTGCTGGAATGTTGTCTGGTCCTGCTGATTTGCCGCGCTTGATTTGTCTGATAGACATGCTGATCTTATCAATATCGGTCGGCAGTTCCGTGGATGCTGCTTCGATGTTGGGTGGGTTCAGTGGAGCTGGTCGACTCAAGAGTTCCTTAAAGTACTCTACCCACCTGTTCCTCAATGTTGCTAATCACTTTGCCCTGCTTGCTCTTTCTCTGGTCGTTCTGGTTTACGATGGTTTTCGGCGAGCTTCTTTGTCGTATCATACAATTGTCTCAAGTTTCCGTCTCTTGCAGCCTTTTCCGCCGTCATTGTTAGATCTTCCACATATTTTCGTTTATCAGCTCTAATGCTCTTCTTCGCTTTCTTGTTTGCTTCTGTGTATTCAGCTTGTACCTTGACTCTTTCTGCTCTTGTTCGGTTGATATTGATTGCTAGTCCTAGTCCTTCTGAACTTTTTATTGATACGGATATGGTCGATTTGGTTCTGAGTAGTATGGTCCGGGGAAATCCGTATAGCTTTAAACAAAGCTTGCCAACTCCCATCTGGTAGTCTTCTGGGAACGCAGCCTGAAGTTACTCCAACAGAGCACCAAAGGTCGTGTTGACCTTCAGGTATAGGTAGGCTCTAATCCCACATCTCCCTCTTGATTCTACATCCCTAGTAGCCTCACTATACTAACATCAGTAGTTTCCTGAGCCATCCTACCATCGAAAAAAACCATGCTAATCCGTTCATTAAATTGTATGCTTTCGTTGCATTACCCAGTTTTCCTTACCATAGCATCTCAAGAGCTCCAGGTTTCCGTGACAGGGCTAAATGCTATTAGGAACATTATGGAGCGGTTAGGTTTTATAGGTGTTGGTTTGGCTGCATTGTTAGAAAAACGGGCATAGACTCCCAGTGGCTAATAGCCCTACCTTGCCTTCTCTTGCATAGAGACGTTAAAAATACACAGTTTACCACCGATATTCTGCAAGCTCCTAGCATCACTGCACATAGAACAATAAGAATAGACTCAACTGGAGGTAGTTTGGCGCCGTTGTAACATGCTGAGCATCCAAAGTTGGTAGACTGTACATGAATATGTGTATTACTTTTACAATATTGCAGGAGAGGTGTCCAGTGCTGGCTGTTGCAATAATCTGTTACTGAGTGCCATAAACGAAACTTCAGCTGTTAGCTACTAGATGATTTTGAACGTTCTGAGAGTACCATGTTGAAAGGTTACTCTAATATGGATGAAAAAGACAAAACATGGCCGTCTTGAGTTTAAAATAGCTAGAGCACAAACATTCATTTCGGGCCAATGTATGCTTTTCACCAACGAATGATAGTCAATGTGCTTAGTCCTGGCCACACCTTCGACATTTAGTGAGCCAGATGAGTTGGTAAAAGACTTTTTCATCACGATTTTACCGAGCTCCTGGTTCTGTACCATAGCGGAACAAGCATCTAGGCCTATTTTCATTTATTTTCAAACTTAAATGAGAAAAAGTCTCTTCTCTTATGCCCTTTATTATGTAATTCTCTTCTTCAGTCGTTGCCGCTGATTGAGAATCTGATCCCAAAGTTTTTTAACGTTTGATTGTGGCGTTGGTGTTGTGTCACTTTTCCTCATTTGTTGGCAAACCCCAAATTTGTGGGGTTAGACTACAGTTTTGCCTCTGCTTCTGGGTTTGCTAATTAGGATGAAATGGGCTTAGGCTTGTGTGTCCATATGAATTAGATAGATCTCTTTCCAAAGTTCATTTCTTATTGATATGCTCAATGAACTTGAAGAATAAGCCATTTTTGATTCCATTGTTACGGCAGCCATTGCTGTGTATTGAGAAGGGCGATAGTTTTGGAGTATTGTTGTGAAGGTCTGTGTAGAGTGTAGAACAAAAATGATTTTGCACTTTTTTATCCTCAGATACAACGCTACTTTTGTGCTTAGAAGTTGGTTCCATTGTGACAATCAATTTTTGATATCATCCAATCATAATGGCATATCCCGAAAAATGCGGGTAACCGAAGTTTTGATATGAATGACTTGAGGTGTGTAGATGTGAAGGAATGGTTCGAGGATAGACGAAACTATCACAACCCAAAAAACTTTCGAAATATGACGTTAAGACAAGGAACATGCTCACAGTATATGAATTAGCTTGTAGAATCTATTTCGCCGGCGGCTGTCCTAATCGCGTCCAATAGAAACACTCCGGTACGTTACTCCTAGATCCAGGTCCCAGCCAAATCAGAAGGTCAAAAATTCTAGGAGAAAACGTCTCTATATTGTTATAAAATGGAAATACAGAGGCTTACGGTATTTTTGTTTCTTCCAGGACTAAATTACTCCGTAGAGTATCTATTACAATAGCTAGTAAGTGACACTAAGTCCAGCAGCCACCGCGTCTATCCAAAAATGTGGCGGTAGCCATATTATATCAAATTTAAACAATATATGTACAGTTCAAAAGCAAACACAAAAACTTCAATATAAGTACAAAATATGGAAAGAATAACAACATACAATGGTAAAATCTCAAATTGGAATCAAATAAAATACCAAAAATGTCAAGAGAAAAAGTCCATCATGTCATAGCAAAAATATGTAAACATGGAGGGATTTTCCAAAACACAAAACATTCAAAAAGAATTCTACACCGGCCCGCAAAATCCCTCCATGCAAAAACAGCAAGCGTTAATGACACCTTATTTAGGGTTCCCATGTTATCCCCTAATCCACACCGGAATAACGTGTAGGACTTACAGCAGTACGCCTACCCGCCATCCAACATGGATATGACCTATCGTGTTAACTAGGTTCCTATACTTTCCCATCAGGCCCTTGATTCCCCTATCTATCGTGGAATGACCTAACGGTAGTATAAACCTTACCCAATTAACCCATACGAACATGAACAACGCGTCGCAAAACTGGTCATATCCTATCCAAGGACTACATTCTCTATCGTGGGGACGAGTCGCCAATCCACCACCACTTGCTCTGATCAGCAGATACCATGAAGTCCGTGATGCTAACTTATCAACAGAAGTTTTTGACCCATAAATAATATGCAAGGGTGGGATCTCCAATTTTGACATTTCATCGTCTCCAGAAGACCTTAAGTAGCATGACGTAGGATCAATATTTATCCTTCCATCTCCTGATGCAGAGGAGGTTTGAACAGTATTCATCATCGTCGGTAACTCATTTGTCACATCAGTGACATCCAGTTTATTATCAACGTCTAAATGATTCCGTTCTGCATTAGCATCCGTTTCCGCGGCACAAGACATATGCTCAACAATAGCATCGTCATCACACAGCACTGTAGACTGGCTGTTACCATCAAACACTTTCTTCTCATCATCACTCGACTGACAGTCAACCGTAATAGGAACAGTTACAGTTGCACAACCTTGTGCATCTTCAATCAACTTAACCTTCGTGACGAGGTCCGATGGCGTCGAAACACTAGGAGGCTCATTCGATGAAGTGGATAAACTAGTCCCTATAAGTGAACTGCTGACACTTTCTATATCCTTATTATCACTGTCACTACTGAGGTTCTGATGGCTACTATTTCTATGGCTAGTCGTAGCATCCGAAAGAGCATGAGGTTCAGGCTTCTTAGTAATAGTAGCATCATGTCTCCTAGGCTTCTTAGCCGTTACTGTACCACCATCACTTATCCTAGAATCTACTCTAGGTCCAGTTATATAATTTACCCTAACTGAAGGGTTCCGAAAATAAGCTTTATTCCGTTCAGTCAATCCTGCCTGGGCTTTATTCATATTTGCTGAACTCACTAACCTCTGATTACTCGAATCCAAATTACCGTTCCAGGCTTTTCGAGCAGCTAAGAGGCTTTTATCATCACACACTTCGGATCCATCTTGATGCCTACACTTTTCACCTTTTTCTTTCTTTTCTACACTTAGAAAAGCCATCTTATCTGTTACACCAACCGGCTTCTTGCTAGGACACGCATCAAGAGGCTTTACATCGTTACGGTCACATACTCGTCCTTCATCAGCGTATGCTTTCGTGATATAATTGACAAATCTCTTATCTTCCGAGCGTGCTTTAGGTAGAAACGAAGAATCCGAATGTCTCGCACGCAGACCACTAGTAGCTTCCGTATTATTTCCTGTTTTAGCCTGATAAGCTAATCTTCCAAACCTACTACTAGCTATCTTAGCACGAGACATAATAAATTCCGTCAATTCGTTAAAATTGGGCTCTCTCTCCTCTTCGTCCCACTTGAATACTAGCTCTGCCCACTGGGCTTGCATTCGACGAGGTAAGAGCCTTACTATTCGTTCTAAAGTAGCCATAGAGTTAAGTTCAGCTGTACAATTTAACTGTTCTAAAGTTAAAGAAGCATTCTGCATTTTAATGGCCAAGTTCGTCAATGATTCAGGATCATTAAATTCTACATTCCCAGTTCTAAATAAGTCCTCTAAGGTTTCTCGCGCTATTACATGCGTCTGTCCAAAGAGCTGTTTTAGAATGGCCTTAGCTCTCTTATATCCTGATTGTGGATCCATAATAATACAGCCTTCAATCGCATTTTTTGCTTTTCCCTTACAATAATGAATTAAATACAATAAACGCACTTGATCATCCTTGATTCGAGGTTCTATAAACGTCTCTATCTGTCGTATGAACTTAAAATAGTCGCGAGACCTTCCATCAAAATATGAAAGTTCAACCTTAGGTAATTCTAAACCCTCTATCGATGACTTACAATAATAAATATCAGACATAACATGTGGGTTACCCATAAAAAGGTTATCACTAACGACTTGCCTAGAGCCCTGTGATCCGTCGAGCTCTTCCACCGTCCTCACGTGTGATTTTTTTCGGTTTGACATCATAAATAAAGTTCAATAAAGACGGTAACGAATACAAAATAGAGTAAATCCAAAATTCAGTTCAAAATTAATGATAAGTAGTTCCAACTTCTTCCCCCAAGGAAGTCTAGTATGATAAACGATTAAAATTCCAAATGTTTCCTTGTAATTCTTAATAATCCAAATAGATCCAAATTATATGCGTTCTGGTAAATATTTCCAAGTATAATTCACGCAAGAAGAGCAAATACCAGACTGTAGAATCTATTTCGCCGGCGGCTGTCCTAATCGCGTCCAATAGAAACACTCCTGTACGTTACTCCTAGATCCAGGTCCCAGCCAAATCAAAAGGTCAAAATTTCTAGGAGAAAACGTCTCTATATTGTTATAAAATGGAAATACAGAGGCTTACGGTATTTTTGTTTCTTCCAGGACTAAATTACTCCGTAGAGTATCTATTACAATAGCTAGTAAGTGACACTAAGTCCAGCAGCCACCGCGTCTATCCAAAAATGTGGCGGTAGCCATATTATATCAAATTTAAACAATATATGTACAGTTCAAAGGCAAACACAAAAACTTCAATATAAGTACAAAATATGGAAAGAATAACAACATACAATGGTAAAATCTCAAATTGGAATCAAATAAAATACCAAAAATGTCAAGAGAAAAAGTCCATCATGTCATAGCAAAAATATGTAAACATGGAGGGATTTTCCAAAACACAAAACATTCAAAAAGAATTCTACACCGGCCCGCAAAATCCCTCCATGCAAAAACAGCAAGCGTTAATGACACCTTATTTAGGGTTCCCATGTTATCCCCTAATCCACACCGGAATAACGTGTAGGACTTACAGCAGTACGCCTACCCGCCATCCAACATGGATATGACCTATCGTGTTAACTAGGTACCTATACTTTCCCATCAGGCCCTTGATTCCCCTATCTATCGTGGAATGACCTAACGGTAGTATAAACCTTACCCAATTAACCCATACGAACATGAACAACGCGTCGCAAAACTGGTCATATCCTATCCAAGGACTACATTCTCTATCGTGGGGACGAGTCGCCAATCCACCACCACTTGCTCTGATCAGCAGATACCATGAAGTCCGTGATGCTAACTTATCAACAGAAGTTTTTGACCCATAAATAATATGCAAGGGTGGGATCTCCAATTTTGACATTTCATCGTCTCCAGAAGACCTTAAGTAGCATGACGTAGGATCAATATTTATCCTTCCATCTCCTGATGCAGAGGAGGTTTGAACAGTATTCATCATCGTCGGTAACTCATTTGTCACATCAGTGACATCCAGTTTATTATCAACGTCTAAATGATTCCGTTCTGCATTAGCATCCGTTTCCGCGGCACAAGACATATGCTCAACAATAGCATCGTCATCACACAGCACTGTAGACTGGCTGTTACCATCAAGCACTTTCTTCTCATCATCACTCGACTGACAGTCAACCGTAATAGGAACAGTTACAGTTGCACAACCTTGTGCATCTTCAATCAACTTAACCTTCGTGACGAGGTCCGATGGCGTCGAAACACTAGGAGGCTCATTCGATGAAGTGGATAAACTAGTCCCTATAAGTGAACTGCTGACACTTTCTATATCCTTATTATCACTGTCACTACTGAGGTTCTGATGGCTACTATTTCTATGGCTAGTCGTAGCATCCGAAAGAGCATGAGGTTCAGGCTTCTTAGTAATAGTAGCATCATGTCTCCTAGGCTTCTTAGCCGTTACTGTACCACCATCACTTATCCTAGAATCTACTCTAGGTCCAGTTATATAATTTACCCTAACTGAAGGGTTCCGAAAATAAGCTTTATTCCGTTCAGTCAATCCTGCCTGGGCTTTATTCATATTTGCTGAACTCACTAACCTCTGATTACTCGAATCCAAATTACCGTTCCAGGCTTTTCGAGCAGCTAAGAGGCTTTTATCATCACACACTTCGGATCCATCTTGATGCCTACACTTTTCGCCTTTTTCTTTCTTTTCTACACTTAGAAAAGCCATCTTATCTGTTACATCAACCGGCTTCTTGCTAGGACACGCATCAAGAGGCTTTACATCGTTACGGTCACATACTCGTCCTTCATCAGCGTATGCTTTCGTGATATAATTGACAAATCTCTTATCTTCCGAGCGTGCTTTAGGTAGAAACGAAAAATCCGAATGTCTCGCACGCAGACCACTAGTAGCTTCCGTATTATTTCCTGTTTTAGCCTGATAAGCTAATCTTCCAAACCTACTACTAGCTATCTTAGCACGAGACATAATAAATTCCGTCAATTCGTTAAAATTGGGCTCTCTCTCCTCTTCGTCCCACTTGAATACTAGCTCTGCCCACTGGGCTTGCATTCGACGAGGTAAGAGCCTTACTATTCGTTCTAAAGTAGCCATAGAGTTAAGTTCAGCTGTACAATTTAACTGTTCTAAAGTTAAAGAAGCATTCTGCATTTTAATGGCCAAGTTCGTCAATGATTCAGGATCATTAAATTCTACATTCCCAGTTCTAAATAAGTCCTCTAAGGTTTCTCGCGCTATTACATGCGTCTGTCCAAAGAGCTGTTTTAGAATGGCCTTAGCTCTCTTATATCCTGATTGTGGATCCATAATAATACAGCCTTCAATCGCATTTTTTGCTTTTCCCTTACAATAATGAATTAAATACAATAAACGCACTTGATCATCCTTTATTCGAGGTTCTATAAACGTCTCTATCTGTCGTATGAACTTAAAATAGTCGCGAGACCTTCCATCAAAATATGAAAGCTCAACCTTAGGTAATTCTAAACCCTCTATCGATGACTTACAATAATAAATATCAGACATAACATGTGGGTTACCCATAAAAAGGTTATCATCAACGACTTGCCTAGAGCCCTGTGATCCGTCGAGCTCTTCCACCCTCCTCATGGGTGATTTTTTTCGGTTTGACATCATAAATAAAGTTCAATAAAGACGGTAACGAATACAAAATAGAGTAAATCCAAAATTCAGTTCAAAATTAATGATACGTAGTTCCAACTTCTTCCTCCAAGGAAGTCTAGTATGATAAACGATTAAAATTCCAAATGTTTCCTTGTAATTCTTAATAATCCAAATAGATCCAAATTATATGCGTTCTGGTAAATAATTCCAGGTATAATTCACGCAAGAAGAGCAAATACCAGACTGTAGAATCTATTTCGCCGGCGGCTGTCCTAATCGCGTCCAATAGAAACACTCCGGTACGTTACTCCTAGATCCAGGTCCCAGCCAAATCAGAAGGTCAAAAATTCTAGGAGAAAACGTCTCTATATTGTTATAAAATGGAAATACAGAGGCTTACGGTATTTTTGTTTCTTCCAGGACTAAATTACTCCGTAGAGTATCTATTACAATAGCTAGTAAGTGACACTAAGTCCAGCAGCCACCGCGTCTATCCAAAAATGTGGCGGTAGCCATATTATGTCAAATTTAAACAATATATGTACAGTTCAAAGGCAAACACAAAAACTTCAATATAAGTACAAAATATGGAAAGAATAACAACATACAATGGTAAAATCTCAAATTGGAATCAAATAAAATACCAAAAATGTCAAGAGAAAAAGTCCATCAGGTCATAGCAAAAATATGTAAACATGGAGGGATTTTCCAAAACACAAAACATTCAAAAAGAATTCTACATAGCTCACCAGATTACATCAGGTTTACCAAGAAAAAGCAACCACTGATACGCATAATTAGCAAATACTATGGTTCGGAATCCATTCTTGCGCAGTTACCCAATCGCTAATGAAAATAAAAGTCAGGAATGGCTGGATGTAAATCTACATTCCATTTGTTGGGTGAGTGCACGAAGTCGAGGCTGATTAATTATCGCAGTATGTGTATAGCTTAACGTGTTTAAACATGACGTTACCAAATGCTTGACTAAGCGCCTTCAGCCCGCGGTGTTTCCAGTGGAACTAATCAAGCCACCATCAAATCAAAGGACCTACTAAGTTTTTTTATCATTACAGGCTCGTCTGTGAAATTATGATTTTTCACCGTTGCGAGGGATTTCTATGGAGACCCGCACACAGAAATGCACTTTTGTTTGTAGTAAGTTTGACCGATTAGTTAAATGAAGTCACAGAAACGAAACAGAGCCATGTGGCCTTATGTGCAATTTCAGACGAAAAATTTGTACATAGTTATGGTTAGTTAACCTCCAAAGATTAAACGTCTGAAACTGGTTAAATTGATAATAAGCACTGGAAACATACACTGTTATTCCTAAAGACTGGTGGAGGTTCACATAATTATTTTGTTTAAGCGGACGACACGTTGCCACTTCTTTGAACTTGTCGGTCCGTCTGGGTCAAAGATGTTGGATTTTTTTCTGATTATCACAAAAGGCGGGATTCGTTTGTGGTGTTTTCCCGGATCAACAGACATATTCCGTTTATCAATAAATACATTCCTCAAGTCCCTCATATTGGAAGTTAGTTTAGTGAGACTCAATAAGTCATGTTTTATAGGAGAATGCTGGTCGTTCACCCTTTGTTTGTGACTCAAGAGCTATGAAATTTTACATGGATAATGAGTTCAACCTGTTATTTGTTGTAAGTTTTGCCCCCAAAGTGACACTTTAAGGCTGCATATCAAAATGTTCTTCAATTAAACTATGTGGATAAATTTCTGACAGATATAGCACTGGAATTTAGGGACAAGTATAAGAATAAACTAGTTAGTCATGATATTACCGGGTCTTATGAGGAATTTCTGCCCATATACCAAGCCATCCTTAAGCGAACTGAGGACGAATTTCGAAATCTTCGTAAAAGTGCCAAGTAGGTTTACATTTTGGTTCTGATTGCTGTTTAGACAGATGCGGAAGTTTGAAGATTCTGATAAGTCAAAAAAGACTGTTGCCTCTATGATTGTTAGAAAGGGTAAAACTGCTGAGGGTGACGTGAAAGAGACCCCTGTCGCCCAAAAAGAAAGTGTAATATCTGAACCCAAAGTGGAAGGTATCTTACCTCTGAAACCATAATAATATTTTTAGAGCCTCCAGTAGAAAACACTGACAATTTTGAACAGAATAGACTTCGACTGGCCGCCAAGTTTAAGGGATCCAAGAAAAGCAAAGAATCGAAAAGGTTAGTCTCTTGTGTATTAGTATTTTTTCCAACTGTTTTTATTATTTAATCCTTCTAAAAGGTATAACAAAAAAAATGGAAAAGCTGATAGTAAAACACTTTCGTAGAAGTCTGTCGAAATAGGGGACAGTTTTCTCTTATTCTCTATCGGTCCTAAAGTTGTATTCTGACTTTATTTAAACTGGTTGTTGACTCTGGCACTTTCTTCGCTTGATACTGCTCTGTTGCAAAACGTGACATCTCAGTCGATTGTATTTCCGTGGAATCCTTTATTGTGTTAGTTTTCCTGAGTTCTTTAGCTGTTTAGTAATTGTAGATTTCCCTTAGTGAACAAAGCTGTATGTTACCTAAGCGTGATTACTTTAGCATGCCGTTTTATTCAGTTTATATCTACTGCATACCATCTTCTTATATGACTTCAGGTTGTCCCATTTCTATTCCGAATTTATTTCCAATGTAATTAGTGTTTGTTGAGCTTACACTTCATCATTCACATCTTACTAATAATCCCCAATTTGTTCATTAAGTTTATTTTTGACAGTTCAGCTAATAACAATGCAGATGTTAAAACTTTCAAAACGGTGGTAGCTCTCCAATATCTGCAGCATTAAGTGTTTGCCTCTGAGCGACATTTTTAGGACCATTTATATATATCTAAACTCCACTCGAATAACTTAGCAAGATTTACGACTTGCTATATTAAACTGCTTTGCGATTCTCTGTCCACTGAAATTGTCCAACCCAAAAAATTTTAGTAAAAATCATTATTTCACCAAGGGGTGTGAAATGAATAAATCCTGAAGGTTAAAACATTTATTTGAACAGTAAATATTAGTATAATTGGGCTCCAAAATAATTGCAAACTATGTACTTGAGATTGTAAGATGATTAAGGCTGGGAGATGGGTATAATCAAATTAGATCAAGAAAAACAAGTGAACGAAGGTAGTATGCTTCAATAAAAACCGTTAAGTCATAGAAAATACAACCAGGAAAAATTCAGTTCTCATTTCTATGAAGCCAAATATGACAGCCGGATTGCCACTGGTTTCTACACGGGACCAAAGGACGGGTTTACTGCTCAGCAGTTCGCTCCATTCCATGTTATGGCTGTGAAACATGGCCACTAAGAAGTGAGGATACTCGTAGGTTGTTAGTATTCGATTATAGATGTCTTCGTAGCATTGCTCGTATATCCTGGGACCATCGAGTAAGCAGTGCTGTTGTTAGTAAACGGGTACTAGGTAAGGATGGCATATCGATTGAATTAGTGAATCTTCATCAGTTTAGGTGGCTGAGACACGTTTTAGGTATGCCCAACCACCGACTACCCGGACGAGCGATGGTTTGTGGTGTAGAGATAGGCTGCAAGAAAGCTAGGAGCGGCCAAACCAAAACATAGCAGAAATCCATGAAGTCATTGACGGGTGGACTGAGCCATGTTGGTAGATGTAGACTACCTGGTTATGGTACGCAAGACATCAGTAACCGACGGTTAAAGACTAAGTATGAAATGACTCGAAACTGTTTGCAATGGTGCAGGTTCGTTTACTCCTTGTGTTCTCTCAAATCCTAATCTTCTGGATTCGTTATTACCTCTGTCGTTTTCTTTCTAAATTGTACTCCTTGAATGATTTATACGAATCTTCTCCATTACGGCTAAAACCACTACTACATCTTCCACTATAGGATTTGAATTGACAATTTTTGCGTCTCTGTGGTAATGTGGTATGGCAACTTAAACTGATGTACGTAAGTTCTACGTTATAGCTAACTGACTGACGTACTAAAAAGTGTGTACATAATTAGATAGTAAGGCAAAATAAACAGAAAGAGGCGTTAAAGTACACTCAAACCCATTATCATTATGATGCTTTGTGTTGATTAATTTAAGCTTGTTTATCCACGTTTAACCTACTACTTACAGTGTTGAACTATTAATAAAATCTTTTGTTATCGTATTCTTACTACTATCAGCACATCTGCCTTCCCATTATCAACTTGTACGTCTAGTTATTATGTCTAGTGTCGTAATCTATTTCATTGTGATTATTGACTCAACTTGCTTTGATTGGTTTAACATTTTCAGATTGATATCCATGTATATTAGAGTAAAGCCTTATGACGATCTAATCGAAAACTATATTGTTTGCCCTTATGTGCTGTTCTAATATTCACAATGGGAGTCTTTATTATCACATCAATCTATTTACAATGAGAGGTTCACTATCCACCAAAACGTAAGATAAGCTTGTTGCAAATCAAACCATGATCAGTCCCAAAAAGAAGCGACTGTCGTATACACAACCTCTCCCGCTTACACATCGGCAATGACTGTTCTGATAATGCTACTCATAAACATGTTGTAATCTGTGTGAAGTTAAGGTGGACAATCATCGTTATTAGACCCATTTACCTCATCCAACCAAGTTTCTTCGTTGCCTAGGCTACTGACTTGCGTGTTTAAATCTCCGGCTAGTACCATTATCTGTCGAATGCACTCTCTGGAGGTCACCTAAATGGTGAAAAAAACCATTCTTGATTATATACTGGGTGCCGCCTGTCGGGACGTAGGTGGTGATAACGATAAAACATCGTCCCTCACTTTAATGAGGCTGTCGAACTTAACAGCACATAATCGACTGTTAATGGGGATCCAATCATTCAGGGCTTTCGTAACTCTAGCTCTTAATGCGACACCGAACCAGACGAGGTTTACACAGTGAAGCAAACTTTATGAGGCGTCCGATGAACAGTGAATTTGTAGTATTTCATTAGTCTTGAATATGCGTCTTATATGAAGAACAAAGTTCGATATTCAGAATTTCTAAAGACAGCCAACGCTATTTGCTGCCCTATCTCTTTTAGTGTGCGAAATTTGAAGGAGATAATTTTGAACGCCATACGTGGTTTCAGAAATTCGGATTCAGGATTTGTATTTGATGGTAGCATTCAGCTTTTGACGAGTCAGTGATTTGGAGTTGTTTATATACCAACTTAAGTAGGGTACCATGTGAGTTAAAAAAGAGAAATAATGAAAATGATAGGGAATAGAAAATTTTCTCCACTAGTTGTTTGTAGGTTAGGATACTATTGGGACGTCCAAACCGAAGCAGGTGATTGTACTAGGGCAGGCCGCGAGCTCTTGACCCACAGATCTAATCCTCAAAGCAGCGGAGTAACGTTAGAAGATGCAGTCAGTCCCTTGATAACCGGTGGCCAACAGTACATACATACGCCACTCGTTACGTCAGCATTCTGGAGCCCATGTACACTAGTGGAATGGGATGAAGGTTTTCCAACTCTCGGTACATGCTTTGTACCCACCAGCACCACACATTCGTTTTTCATCCTCTCAACTTCGTAAACAACACCATCGTTGTGAAAATGTAGTTAGTAAGGCTTTCTTGGTAGTAGTAGTTTCATGTGCATGGTTATATGAGAGCATTGGAAGAGGGAGATCGGGCTTCCTCCACTCTCAGCCGCAACCAGGATATTTAAGGTTATTTTAAAATCAAGACCTTAACCTCCTGCCTTACTTACATTTTATCCGAATTGATTGTACGCAACAACTTACTGATTCAATGTTTACTTCACTATACTCGAACTTTTTTCTTTTACTGATCTAGCCCTTCATCATCACCAATGCAAAAACCAAATGGTAAAAAAATCAAAGAAAGTCGTCGATGGGATAATGCAGCAACTGGTGAAGAAGCAGCCGCATTAGATTTTAGTAGTATGAATAATCATACAGAATCATCAGCAAAAAGTCAAAAAGTTGATTATAACTTTTCTGCCACAGAAATAGAAACATTATCACGTCTTCGTGGGACAATGAAAGATGATTTAGATGAAGTTGATGTTTCTTCGGATGATGAAGATGGTTTAGAAATGGAAGAGAATGAACAGAACAATGAACAGAATAATTTACCAGTTGATGCTCAACTTGACGATAAGAGTTCAATTAAAAATAAACAAACAAAGGTTCGTATATCTACTTAATATGGTTTCTAAATTTTTATCGGTGTTTTTCGAGTCTTATTCATAAGATACTTTGGTTTTTCTTTCATACCTATTGAACTTTTCCCTATTGGCTATTTAATATAAGCTAAACTACAACTACAAAGGCTTTCGTTAACAGTTCAATCTCCTCAAATCATCTTATTCGTCTCGAACAAATCCTTCTATTTCAAAGAATGATTTAATTACTTTATTGTCTCTTTACTAACTCCACTAAATTGATAAACTGAGTTAAAGATGTAGCTTATAAATTTAAGCATTTAGCTTCCATCGATGCAAAGTTTGTCCCATTTATTTAGGTTTTCTTAACACTCACTCATACAGTATAAGTCGAAGCCAAACGAATGAATTATCATTTAGATGATAACAAGGCAAGTTGATAGCCAACACGTTGCTTTTGCTAATTGGTCTCCACAACCAATTGCTCCACAACCAAAACAACCAGCTCAGAGAACGAAACACCACCACAATGGTCTTTAGTCACCTGGATCGATGCGCATATCTATTAAGTTCCGAGTTTCGTTTGATTGATTCGGTCATTTCTTATCTGTTTACTGTCTAATTTACACCCTAGTAGATACACATGTATTACACATTTGAAATCATCAATCAATCATTGTTAGATCAACCTTAGAAACCTGGAAGCACTGGACAGCTGTTTCGTCCTGGTATGGGACCGAGGTCCGAAGGTCCCGGGTTCGAATCTTGCGAGGTGCAGGAGTCGTGGATGTGCACTGCTGATGAGTCTCATACCAGGACGAAACGGCCGTCCAGTACTTCCAGGTTTCTAATTGTGTTGTCTAACAATGATTGATTGATGATTTGAAATGTGTAAAAACACAAATCTCCAAAACTCTAACTGAAAACGTCTTAAATCTGAAAAAATTAGAAAATCATGTGTGTATTCTGTCTTTTTTTAAAAACAAAATTGCAGTCAGGTTACCTCAATGGTGGTGGTTTTGCCTCAAGTTTATTGCGTGGTTTACGTATTACTGGAGGTTCTGGACGTGTTTTAACCCGTGAAGATATTACACCTTGTCTTGAACAACTTCGAGAACGCCTTGTCGGTAAAAATGTTGCCATGTCGATTGCTGATAGAGTTTGTTCAAATGTAGCTGATCGTCTTGTCGGTACATCTCTCGGGACATTTGAAAGAATATATCCTCGTGTTCGAGCTAGTTTAGAAGAAGTTTGTTCTCGAATTCTGGTTTCTGGTCGTCGTGTAGATGTTCTTCGTGATGCATTGGATGCACGTACACAGGGAAGACCATACAGTATTGTTTTCTGTGGTGTGAATGGTGTTGGAAAATCGACAAATCTAGCAAAGGTATATTAATTTAACTAAATTAATTATTAAGAGTATTTGTTTTGGTTGGTTCATATTGAAATTTTATTGATTTGTTGTTCGTATATCTTATCTTAAAAACTTCAACGAATCATGGCCTGGTGACTGACGAAATCTCAGCTCGGATACAGAAGGCTCGATTGGCTTTTGCCAACCTGCGTCACTTATGGCGAAGGCGAGATATCCGTTTGCTGACTAAAGGACGAGTGTACTGTGCAGTGGTTCGCTCCGTCTTACTTTATGGCTGTGAAACATGGCTAGTGAGAGTAAAAGATATTCGTAGGTTACAGGTTCTCGATCATAGGTGTCTTCGAAGCATTGCTCGTATATCGTGGGACACCCGAGTGAGCAACGCTGTTATTAGGAATCGGGTGCTAGGTAAGAATGGCAGATCAATAGACGCAGTAGTGACACTTCATCAGTTGAGGTGGTTGGGACATGTGTTGCGTATGCCCAACCACCGACTGCCTTATTGAGCTTTGTTTTGTAGTGTAGGAATAGGTTGGAAGAAAAGAAAACATGGCAGAAATCCATGAAGTCATTGACTAGTGGACTTAGCCATGTCGGTAATTGTCGACTACCTGGTTGGGGTCAGCGAGATGATAATAATCTATGGCTAGAGACCTTGAATGACATGGTTCAAAATCGTTCACAATGGCGCCGGTGCATTTATTCTTTGTGTTCTCTCAAATCCTAATCTTCTGGATTCTTCAACAACTCTAGTTTTGACTTTCTAAACTTTTCTCATTTAATCATACTTCATGAATAATATCTTCTAATCCTAACTTCTCCGATTACTTCTAATACCTTCACTACCTCTACTACTATTGGACTTGAATTGACAGTTACATCTCTGTGCTGATGTGGTATGGCGACATGAACTGATGTACTTACGTACGGAGTTCTACGTCGCATTTGACTCAACGAATCATTAACCAACTACATATTCATAGACTAGTGATACTGCCCACGTGTCAAAATGAACCAATGATCAGAAATGAAATAATTTGACCCATTAAGGCACTTATCTACCGTGGAAATAATGACCTCATTAGTTTAAAGTAGTGAATACAAGAAGGCTTGTTAATGGACGTTTACACAGACTATATGTAGAGTTATTCATGCGAAATGTCAAAGCGATATGTAGAATCTTCGTTAGTTGTGGGATAATTTGATCCCTTAGATCACGAAGTCTCGAAATCCGCCAACGTTTTTTCTTCTCTTCTTCGGAGACACGTTCTTTTCTACTGCTGATATTGTTACTATTTCTACTTCTCTGGGACTTGGTTTGATAATTTTAGCTAGTTTCACTAGTTTTAATGTCACAACTTGAACCGGTGCACGTTAGTACCTGGTTGTACCTTGAATACAACTGATGGCCTCTACTACAAACTACTGAACTATGATTTATAATAATTAAGACCTGAAAGAAATTTATAGCTGTTCAAATTATTACACCCTGCATCAATAAACAATTCAGAAGGATGATGGAGGATGTAAGGAAAAAGTGAGGAGCTGATCATCACTTGATGATGGCCAAGATGAAACTGAAACTCAAGAAGCACTGGACAAAGGGGCGGACAACATCACAAAAGTTTAATACGGCCTCTCTTCCGGATACTGGCGAACTCAACGAATTCAAGATAACCCTTAGCAATAAGTTCCAAGTTTTTCATCATCTACTTGATGGAGAGGAAACTACCATGGAGAACAACTGGAAATGGATCAAACAGGCAATAACTCCAGCATGTCATGAGGTTCTGGGCCACAAGAAGCACCATTGTAGTGAACGAGAACACAGGTGTGGCAACCGAATTGTGTTTAACGAAAATTACAGAGTTACTCAGTAAAATTGGAAAACCATATCGTAAATCGTCCATTTGGAAAATATCAGTCCATCATATCGAACTGCACTGTTCCTGTTGCAAACATCTAATCCATTGTCACTATTCATGAGTTTCATACAAATTCCATTGTTTTCTAACTCTTCCTTTCTTGATCTTCCCCCATCTTCTGCTGCCAGACATTACGTTGACGCTCACGTCATATACTACTTATAAGTAGTTCGCACCACAGCACCACACCATCACAAGGAATGAGTCTCAGTGGAGAAAGCAAGCTGAATACACAGAAGCAAACAAGTAGGTGAAAAGTAGCTTCAGGGATGAGTAACTCCAATATGTGGAAGCCCTAGCAATGATAGCAGAGAAACCTGCAGGATAAGGAAACATGAGACAGCTATATGATAAAACGAAAACGCTTGATGGAAAATATCGTAAATCAGAAAGGCCAGTGAAAAACAAGAAAAGCAAAGTATTCGCCAACATTGGAGAACGGCGAAACAGGTATGTAGCGCACTTTGGAGAACTCCTGAATCCACCGACCCCGCCGAACCGACCCATCATCGAAACACCATCCACGGAATCCCTAATTGATGTTGACCAACCAACAATCGAAGAAATCAGCAATGCTATCGGACAAATTAAGAGAGGCAAAGCATCAGGACCATATAACATTGGAGTTTAGTTACTGGAAGCAGATGTAACAGTAACTGCAAATATACTACATATTCTCTTCAGCAAGATTTTGAATGAAGAACAAGTACCAACAGACTGAGAAGAACGACACCTGATCAAGATACCAAAGAAAGGCGATCTCAGCAAGTGTGAAAACTACAGAGGTATCGCTCTTCTCAGAATACTAGGAACAATATTCAACAGAGTGTTCTTAAACAGAATGAAGGATTTAGTAGACACCCAACTTCGAGATTGACAGGTCGGCACTCTCGGGACTTCGTCAGCACTACGGCGTTCCTCAGAAGACAGTCAACATTTTACGCAATTCTCACGATGGATTAAACTATAGGATCTTGCATGGAGGACAACTCACAAACTCGTTCCAAGTGAAGACCACCGTCAGACTAGGTTGCTTATTCTCACTCTTCCTCCTGGTGGTCGACAGACGCCAACATCTGAGGAGAAGATATCTATCTCACACGCACCAGCAAATTCAGGGGAAGACGACCAATATAGCGGCCTCCTTTGTAGCACTAGGCCTCAACATACGCGAGCGGAAAAGCAAGATTCTTCGATACAACATAACATTCACCAACCTAAACACACTTGACGGAGAAGCTTTGGAAGATGTAACATATTTTACATATGTAGACAGACTCATTGATGAACACTGGGGATCTGATGCAGATGTAAAGATACGGATCGACAAAGCAGGGCCAGCTATTCTACAATTGAATAACATCTGAAATTCAAGGCAGCTGTCAATCAACACCCAAGTCAGAATTTGTATTGCAAATGTTAAAACAGTTCTACTGTATGAAGCGGAAACTTGGGCAACTAGGAAAGTTACAACTGCTTAAAGCCGGTCGCGCGCACTGCCATTTCATGGGGAGTTTTCGGAGTGTCAACTCGGCAATCTCAGCCGTGCCACAACATTTATGGTTCACTTACCATTCCAACCAGTTTCTCTGTAAATATGGGTAGTTTTTTCAGCCGCTTGATATATCGATTCGAATCGTCATACAAATGCATTATTCTATGTTAATATTGTCACTTATTATGAATACAATATCTGAAGTAGTTTATGAACTGATAACAGAATTGTACTAAATAATTAAGTCATACATAAAATTAATCACTCATGACGTGATTTCCATTTTCCTAATCATAGATTGCTTTTTGGCTTATCGAAAAGAACTTCCGTGTCCTTATAGCCGCCTGTGATACTTTCCGATCTGGTGCTGTGGAACAATTGCGTACCCATGTACGCAAACTAAATTACATTCATCCAGCTGATCAACATGGTGGTCAAACTATGGTTGAATTATACGAACAAGGATATGGTCGTGATGCAGCTTCAATAGCTCGTTCTGCAATTAACTATGGTATATTGGTGTAATTTTTCATTCAGTATTTTATATATACTTGTTAGCTTGCGCCTCTATTACCCCTGTATGGGCCACCGACCAGCGAATCTTTTTTTCTAGCCAATCGGATTTCTGCGGGACGGCGTCGCCAAGCCTGTGCACAACCCTCCTCCTTTATCCGGGCTTGAGACCGGCAGTAACCCATGAGGGGCTTCAGGCGGAGCTATATGTATTGTCTTAAGCACTCTACTCACTGAATCATACTTCTTGAATAATATCTTTTAATCCTAACCTCTCCTATTATTTCTAATGCCTTTACTACCTCTTCTACTGTTGGATTTAAATTGATAATTACATCTCTGTTCTGATGTGGTATGGCAACATGAACTGATGTACTTACGTACGAAGTTCTACGTTGCATCTGACTGAGTGACTCTAAAATATAGGTGTGTACTTTATTTTGGGGAAATATCACATTTTACCCAGCAGTTATTGAATAACGATTGCTTAAATAAAAAGCTTAGTAGTTGAATTTATTCTCTAACTTATTAAAAGCAATAAACTGTTTTATCGAATGCTAGTTCCAATTTTACTAAATACTTGTTTTGTCTTTTCTTAGTGAACTGTCTTGGTTTAGCATTATGATTTTATGGAGATCGTTGTTTATACTCGTTGAAATCATGAATGAATCGTTGTTAGACCACCATTGGAAACCTGGATGCACTTGATAGCCGTTTCGTCCTGGTATGGGACTCATCAGCAGTGCGCATCCACAACTGCTGCTAATTGCAGGATTCAAAACCCAGGATTTTAGGTCTTGTGCGCGAACGCTTAACCTCTGGACCATTGAGCTGGCATCCAAGTGACTTTCTATCACTGGATAACATGTTTAAATTCTATTGTACCTTCGTTCGTTCATTTAGTCAGTGTATTGTTACGCCTGCACATAAACACGTCAACTTGATATACTTGAACTATTACGGGTTTACCTAGTCGGAAACAAGAGAGCAAGGATCGGGCGACATGATATGCTACTCAAATCCGATTATTCCATCCCCCATATTTAGTAAAAATAAGAAGACGTGGTATGAAGTAGAACATGTATTCTACAAGCATCCAGAAAGTACGAGGTCCGAGTCCAGAAGACAATCAGGACACCGGACTAGATATCCGGGACCGAGCCCTGGTCCTTGTCGTGGTCATAAAATGTTAGATAATGCGTATTTATACATTTTGGTCGAATAGGCAACAGCATCGAATTCTGCGGTATTGACAGTCAGGATGACCAATCAGAGACAACATTGAAGTATTTGACTTTGACAGTTAAACTGACCATAATTTTGACCAATAGAAATCGACCAATAGGATTCGACCAATAATTAATTCTCTTAGGATATTGGATGAATATCCAAACATGTGTATATAGTCCTCATTACAAAAAATAATTACTTGATTATTATGTCTGCTTTGGTTTAGTAGGCAACCGGGCAGTTGTAGTATCCCAGCCTCCACTAATAAATATTTATATATGCCTCTTTGTACCAATAATGATGTGTTTAAATAAAATTTAAAAAAAAATTATTTAATCACATTTCATCATGTCCATTTTGTGTCGTTTTGAACTCTTTGTGGTCAAAGAATGAAACTCTACCACAATCATCCATCTGAGCTACAAATTTACTGTACCATCTCAATATGATGACTATAGATTATTGGTTTTTTGGTCAAAATGGATAAAAATATATTAAGCTGCTGATTATATCATATCATCAAAGCAGCAACCTTCTAATCACGTAATTAGTGATAATAATTCAATGTTTATGAAATATCATTTTTATTCACCCGAGACCTACGTTTTAAATGGTTTCATAATATATATCGCTTTCAATGTTGGAGAGAATTTCATCAATAAAAATCGAATAATAAAACTTATTAATAGATGAAGTACTGACATTGTCATTAATTCAGGTAGTTGGGACATGTGTTACGTATGCCTAACCAACGACTGCCTCGTCGAGCTATTGTAGTGTAGGAATAGCTTGGAAGAAAATTAGTAGCGGCCAAACCAAAACAGGGCAGAAAACCATGATTTCACTAACAAGTGGTAGATATAGGTGTCTGGTTGGGGTCCGCGAGATGATAGTAATCAATGGTTAGAGACTTTGAATAACATGGCTCAAAACCGTTTGCATTGACGCAGGTGTATTCATTCTTTGTGTTCTCTCAAATCTTAACCTTCAGAGTTCCTCATCACTTCTTTTTAAGTTTATTTCACTACATTCTACTTCTTGAATAATATCGTCGAACCCTAATCTCTCCGATTACTGCTAATACTTTGACTACCTCTACTACTATGGGATTTGGAGTGACAATTGCATCTCTGTGCTAATGTGGAATGGCGACCTGATCTAATGTACGTACGTACGTTGTAACTGACTGAATTATTGTTAGAATAGGACAAAAGTTGCTTCCTAGATTCCACTACTGGCCGCATTCTGTCTATTCCTCATCACCTTGTATCATTTTGGCTATATTGAGGCAATTTGCACAGGACGCTAACTAAGACCGATCAAATAACAGATACAACATTATTGATAACGGGATAATCTAACTCATTTCAAAATGTAGGGAGGAAGTGAAAGTTTAACATTTTCTGGTTTCATTAATTGGAAATACATCCGCCAACACACACAAACATAGGGACTTTTAACCATGCAAATGATCGATATTTGACTCATTAATACAGTAATTAGCTCTGTAAATGTTTAAATTAAATTTTTACTTTCAACAATGCTCAATACATTTTATTTTGTATGTGTGTGTGATGGTTAGCTCTTCATTACCTATTGATCACCGTAGCTGCTACCTTGACGTGATGGTCGGTGGACGAAATCTCAGCTCGGATACAGAAGGCTCGATTGGCTTTTACCAACCTGCGTCACTTATGGCGCAGGCCAGATATCCTCTTGCTAAAAAAAGGACGAGTGTAGTGCGCAGCAGTTCGCTCTGTCCTACTATATGGATGCGAAACATGGCCGTTAAGAACAGAGGACATTCGTAGGTTACTAGTCTTCGATCATCGGTGTCTCCGAAGCATTGCTTGTGCATCCTGGGACGACCGAGTAAGCAATGCTATCGTTAGGAAACGAGTTCTATGTAGAGATGGCAAATCAATAGATGAAGTGTTGAAACTTCATCAGTTGAGGTGGTTGGGACATGTGTTACGAATGCCTAACCACCGAATGCCTCGACGAGCTATGTTTTGTGGTGTAGGAGTAGGTTGTAAGAAAGTTAGGGGCGGCCAGACCAAAATATGGCATAAATCCATGAAGTCACTGACTAGTGGATTGAGTGATGTTGGTAGATGTAGGCTGTCTGGTTAGGGTCCGCGAGACGAAAGTCACCAGTGGTTAGAGACTTTGAACGACATGACTCAGAATCGTTTGCAATGGCGCAGGTGCATCCACTCTTTGTATTCTCTCAAATTCTAAGCTTCTGCATTCCTTATAATCTCTACCTTTCTCCTTCTAAATTTTTCTCACTGAATTATACTTTTTGAATCATATCTTCGCTCCCTAATCTTCTCTATTACTGCGAATACTTTTAACATCGCTATCACTACGGGATTTGAACTGACAATTGCGTCTCTGTGTTGATGTGTTATGGGCAATCTGAACTGATATACTTATGTACGAAGTTCTGCGTTGTATTTGTCTGTCTGTCTATATTCTGTATGTACATTTTACATTGATAAATGAATTGTTGTTTGTTCAATATTTTTTTGCTTGTTCGTTTATTCAATCATTAGCTCGTGATCGACACTTTGATATTGTACTTGTTGATACAGCTGGACGTATGCAAGACAATGAACCATTAATGCGTGCTTTAGCATCGGTAAGTTATACTTATTCTTTGAAATAAGAAATGATTTTATTTTATTTTTTTTCATTTTAGGTTAGATTTCTAGGGTTGTATAAATTTAGTTAGATATAATCAATATATATAGTCTGATATAAATAAGTTTTTAATCCAAATCACCCTACCACACCGGCAAAATAAGATTAAGTCAATTATTTTTAAATCACCAATAGAAACCTGGAAGCACTGGACGGCCGTTTTGTCCTAGTGTAGGACGGCACAGAGGTTAGGCGTTTGCGTGCAAGACTGCAGTTCTTGAGCTTGAATCCTGCAAATAGCAGTAGTCGTGGGTCCACACTGCTGATGTGTCCCATATCAGGTCGAAACGGCCCGTCCAGTGCTTCCAAGTTTCTAATGGTGGTCTAACAATCAATAATTGATTGGTAATTTCAATGTCTCCTTTGTTATTTTAACGTTTACTATTAACATTTCATTTTCAATCTTGTTCCCCTTCCTTTTCTCTAGCTGATTCAAACTAACCAACCGGATCTAGTATTGTTTGTTGGTGAAGCGTTGGTTGGTAATGAAGCAGTTGATCAACTAGTCAAATTTAATCAATCCCTTGCAGATCATAGTTATTCTGATCGTCCCAGATGTATTGATGGCATTGTATTGACTAAATTCGATACAGTTGATGATAAGGTAAGTAAAAACAGACAATATTTCATTGTTAATCTACTGGAGATAATTTGAATTGCCTTCATTTTTGACTGAAATTTGAAATGTCCAGCGTTAATTCAAAGAAGAATGTGAATTGATTACACATTTGTTTTTCAGTTTCCACTTATGTACAGATAGTATACTTTTGTTCAATAAATATGATTAATAATATCTATGAATAAATCTCCAGTATGAGGGATGATTTAGGGAGGTGTACTGCGCAGCAGTTAGCAGTTCGCTCCGTCCTACTATATGGATGCGAAACATGGCTGGAAAGAGTTGAGGATATTTGTAGGCTATTAGTATTTGATTATAGATGTATACGAAGCATTGCTCGTGTATCCTCGGACAACTGATGAAGTGTTGAAACTTTATCATTTGAGGTGGTTAGGACAGGTGATGCTTATGCCTAACCACCGACTACCTCGACGGGCGATGTTTTGTGGTGTCGGATTAGGTTGGATGAAAGCTAGAGGCGGCCTAACCAAAACGTGGCACAAATCTATGAATTCACTGACAAGTAGACTCAGTCATATTAGTAGTTTTTTAGGATATTCATCCAATATCCCAAGAGAATTATTGGTTAATTTCTACTGGTCAATTTTATGGTCGTCCTGACCGTCCATGTCACTCGAATTTTGTTTCCTGTTGGTCGACTTAACTGTCAATGTCACATACTTTGATTTTGTTACATATTCGACCTAACTGTATAAATACGCATTATCTGTAACGTTTTATGACCAGTACTCGGTCCCGGATCCCTAGTACGGGATCCTGATTCTCTTCTGAACTCGGACCTCGTACTTTCTGAATGCTTGTAGAATACAGGTTCTACTTCATATCAAGTCTTCTTCTTTTTATTCAATGGGGGTTGGGACACGCCGATTTGAGTAGCATGTCATGTCGCCGGATCGTCGATCCTCGCTCTCGTATTACGACCAAGGTAAACTCGTAATAGTTCAAGCCTATCAAAATGACGTGTTTACGTGCATGTGTAACACAGACGTAGGCTACCTTTTTAGGGTCCACAAGACGAAAGTAACCGATGGTTAGAGACGTTGAACGACATGGCTCTAAACCGTCTGCATTGGCGCAAGTGCATCCACTCTTTGTGTTGTCTGAAATTCTAATCTTCAGAATTCCTCATCACGTTCATCTTTTTTGTTTCTAAATTTATTTTACTGAATTATACTTCTTGAATAATATCTTCCAAGCCTAATCTTCTCCTTTACCGGTAATACTTCTATCTCTGCTCGGCTATACCAGGGTATACGAGCTATGTTTTGGTGACATCTGTAATCGAATAATAATAACCTACGAATGTTTTCTACTCTTTCCGGCAATGTTTCGCATCCATATAGTAGGACGGAGCGATGTATAGATAGTATACTTTTGTCCAGTTCATATAACCACTAATAACTATGAATGAATCTCCAGTATGATGAATGATTTAGGTAGTTGGATGCTTGTAAAATGAACACAGTGTCCTTTTCGATATTTTAGCTGTTAAACAATTGATTTGATCTGAAAATTGTCTGAGATTCGATTAAATTATTGAGAAACATATAGATGAACAGACAGACAATCGGTCACTGTTAGATTAGGTCTAGAATATGTGAACAGCCTTTATTCAATAAATATTGTGAAATTCTTTAGAAAATATGTATCATTTTCAAGAATCATACTTGATCTTAGCCAGTTAGTTGCAATGTAAAACGTATTTACGTATTTACATCAATTCAAGGTGCCTTGCCGCATTAACACAAACATATGAAATTGTCAGGTCTAATCCTAGATTAGTAGAGGTTGTAACAATACTAGTAGTATTGTTACAGATTAGTAATCGAATATAAAATGTAAGAAAATGGGAATCAGGGAAAACACGAAAAAAAGTTTATAGGAAATTTAGTAGATTAGGGTTTGGGATAAAACTAAGATTGGATGCACCTATACTCTATTGTAAACGATATTGAGCCGTGTCATTCAAAGTGTCCAATCATATGGTCATGATAATCACATTAACTCCAACCAGGTAATCTACATCTACTAATATGACCCCGTTTAATTATTAATGACTTAGTGGACGGGTGTCATATTTTGATTTGGCCATTCCTAACTTTCTTCCATCATCCTCGTGTGCTGTTACGGGTATGAGGGCAGATGTCACTTTCCGGCTGCCCACAACGTGGAAGGTTGTCTTTTGAGGAACCTGAAAAGGAAGGTAGATTAGTGTTGGTCTTAGAGACCTGGGTGCGTGGCCGCAGAGCCCAAGGGACAACTGCTTGATGCCGGTCACGCACGGCCTTTTTATGAAAAGTTTTTTGAGTATTAGCTCCGCTCTTGAAAAAAGCCCTAAGTGGGCACCCTTACCGACGGAGACGAAAATCCGTGAGGAAAGGTGAGATGTGACATTTTTAGGGTCGACCTTTTCTAACCCTTCCTTCCTTGTGAGAAGACAGCATCGCTACAGATGCTGGTTGTCCGAGGGAAACACCTTACTGCTGTCACACCCCTCCACAGTCAGTCAGCAGTACGATTTCGCCCTCAGACCTTGAGTAGTTGCTTTTAGTCTCATCGTTCTCTAATCGACCAGCCTGGCATGGTATAACCTTCAGGAACATACGATCCAGCCAGTATAGCTCGTTTGGGTCATCACGATAGGCAAGCCCGACCACCACGTCAAGGTAGCAGCTACGATCGGGTCTTCCTCGTACACCAAAGTGCATAGCCAGTGGATGTAGTCGTTGGTTGGACATACATAACACATGTTATATTCATGTCAGTTGATAAAAATTCACTACTTCATCAATCGATGTGCATCTTTTACTAGTAGTACACTACTCTTAACTTCAGCATTGCTTACTCAGTGATGCAAGATCTTATTGAGATCATATATGAATTATCCCATGTATTTCATTGAATTATACTTCTCGAATCATATCTTCAAACCCTAATCTTCTACATCACTGCTAATACTTCTACTATCTCTTCCACTGTGGGATTTGAAGTGACAGCTGGGTCTCTGTGCTGATTAGGTATAGCAACCTGAACTGATATACTCGTATACGAAGTTCTACATTGTAAGTGACTGACTGTCCTGTCTGTTACATAAGTCTACCCGTACCCATCAATTCCTTCCGCCTTCATCATCGATATCAATGCACAAGCCCTTATTCACGAGAAGTACCTGATGATTTTATCACTCTGTATAAGGGTCTCTAAACTGATAAACGTATTATGAAGACATTTTATATTGGAAGAACTAGAATCCCTACTTACAGTGTATTACTTACTAACTCAATCATTCACAGTGTAGATTAGAGCAATTTATATAACAACTGTTTGTTTTTTCTCCATAAATTAATCACACTCCACACATTGATTTGAAGTTCCATAGATTCACATTGCTAAGCAGTCTAATGATGCTTGCTACTTAATTTTCACTAGTTCCTTTTAATTCACACCAAGCTGTGATGTAATTTTATGTCAATCGAAAATACACTATTAAAACCAGTGTGATATTCAAATCCGTTTCAAACACGGATTATTAACTGCGCAACTCATACTATGTGACTTTGATTTAATATTGTGTGTGTCATACCTTGAGTAGTGAATCACCTCATTAAAATACATCTCTATCTTTTCCTTACTCATTATTGAACAACCACATAGGAAAAAAAAAGCAATACACGTTTTGTATTTGGATGGTTGGGACATGTGTTACGTATGGCTAACCACCGACTGCCTCGACGAGCGGTGTTTCGCACTGTAGGAGTAGGTTGGAAGAAAGTTAGGGACGGCCAAACTAAAATATGGCGGAAATCCATGAAGTCACTGACAAGTGGACTGAGTCATGTTGGTAGATGTAGTAGGCTACCAGGTTGTGGTCCACAAGACATGGTTCAAAATCGTTTGCAATGGCGCAGGTGCATCCACTCTTTGTGTACTCTCATATTCTAATCTTGTGAATTCCTCATCATCTCTATCTTTCCCTCTGTAACTTTATCTAGCTGAATTACACGCTAGTCTTCTCAATTACTGCTAATACTTTTACTATCGCTACAACTACAGGGTTTGAACTGACATTTGAGTCTCTGTGCTAATGCGGTATGGCAGTTTAAACTGATGTACTAACGTACGAAGTTGTGTGTTGTGCCTGTCTGTCTGTCTGTCGTTGATTTTTACACTGTGAGAACAACAGTTTCTTCATTTATTTTTACTGTGACTGACTGACTAACTGATTATTCATTTTCTCAAATTTTTTTCTATTCTCTTTAGGTTGGAGCTGCTATTTCCATGGCATGTATATCAAATCAACCAATTGTATTTGTTGGTACAGGTCAAACCTATTCTGATCTACGTCAATTATCAGTGAATGCTGTTGTGAAAGCTTTAATGAAATAATTTTTTTCATTAGTCATTATTTATCTTCATTTTTTTCTTTCTATGATATTTTTTTAATGTTGTTGGATATTTTTTCTCACACTCTTCTCTTCTAACTTTTCCTCACTCACTTCTTGTCTGTTTCTCTCAATTTCGTAGATGATTATTTCTGAATTTTTTTTTACTTTAAAAAAAACAACAATTTTGCACAAAATGAATTTTTATTCGCCATTTTCTTCTCCCCACCCCTCAAAAACTCCAATTATCTCTTTTTGGGGGATGAATTCACTGTGTTAGAGTAGCAGCAGCAGGCTGTTATCAATTGCCGGGTAGAATGAATTTCCTCTTATTACTTTCCCACTATCCTATTGTATATCTGTGTGTGTTTATGTGTGTGTGCGTGCTTGCGTGCGTGTATACATACATACATACATGAAGGGAAAGGGAGTGACGTATGTTAATAATGATTATACACTGTGTCTCTCATTGTCTCTCTGATTTATTGTTTTCCTACTTGACTTCCCCCCCCCACGAATATTGATCTCTATGGTGCCCCCCCTATTGTTTGTCTATGCGATGTTTTCTCTCCTTGTGTATTGTCCTTGGTATGTGCATGTATGCGTGTGTGTGTGCGTGTTGGTGTGTTTTTCTCTCATTCTCTAGGTGATAAAATTACCCAATGTAAGCAATTCGTTTATTTTATGATGATGAATAACAAAATACTTTGTACTGTATCGTACCATACTGTATTGTAGTGCAGTAATTCACACTATCAAACAATGGTTGTATTTCTATCTTTTATTTTCATGATATTCACTTCAGATTATTATGATGATGATGATTCTTTCATGTTTTTTTTGTTGTTGTTGTTAAAAGTGCAAAGAAAGATCCGATTTGGGAATTTGGTTTTTTTTTTCAGAAAAAATTGTGCTTTTTTCATCGTGTGTGTTTGTGTGTGTGTACCATCTTCGGCTTCATCTTTTATAGTTCAGTGTGTAAGTGTTTGTTTTATTTGGGGGGGGGGTCAGTTAGTAGTTGTAGTGGTAGTAGTAGTAGTGTAGTGAAGGAGAACACACAGGTGAGGGCAACCGAATTGTATTCAACGAAAATTACAGAGTTACTCAGTAAAATCGGAAAAACAATATCGTAAACGGTGGTTAATTTGCAAATCTTCAATCCATTGTCTGACATTTCACTCACTATTCATGCGTTTCATACAAATTCCATTGTGTTCCCACTCTTCTTACTTTCTTGATTTTTCCCCGATCTTCTGCTGCCAGACATTACGTTTACACTCACGTCATATACTACTTATAAGTAGCACGCACCATAGTAGTAGTAGTAAGTGTGATGTACTGGGATTTTGTTGACGTGTTTAAATCTGTTCTTCCATAACTACTTCGGTTGTAGGTGTGTTCGGTAAATGCATAAGTCAAACACAAGTATACTTGTAATTGAATGGGATGGTAGACTGATAGAGACTTTCTTTTTTTCTGTACAAACTGTTTCACACTAAATGCTGTTAGGAAAGTTATGAAGTAAAATGCAGTCATTTTCTGATCAAATGAAATGATAAGACAATTTCACATTTTTGAATCTGTCTGTCGCCAACAATAATGGTTTATTTCTAAGAGTAAATTAATTTTGATATTATAGCTTAGCCATTAAGTTGGAACTCTAAAGTACCTATAATTTGGAATACATGATGGTCCAATAATTAGTTTGGTGGGATTAGAAATTTCTTATTATGCTATTGGAGACATTTTTGACATCATTGACTAGCTTCATGGAGGAATCCTTGGAGTTCTAATGAGAGGCGGGTGGCAGGTTTGAACCAAGTTATCTAACGAAGACAGTGTATGCTAGTTGCGCAGTATCATTGAATAATTGACGTTACATATTAACACCGTCAGATGCTACTCAGTGATTTATGGATTCGTTCTAGAGAATGCAGTTTGTGACCTGAATGGCAAACCGATGAAAGCCGTCCTAATCTCTATGCAGTTAAGAAAGATATAGGAAATCTGAAGCGAGGGAGTGTAGCGGGTCCTGACAGGTTGACCCCTGAGATTTTTAAGGATGCTGTTCCGGTTATAGCAGTTAGGTTACTTGAGATCTAAGGTATAATTTGGGAACTGATCGTAACCCCATCCGACTTTTAAGAAACGACAAGTTTTGTGACAACCACAGGGGAATCATTCTAACTAATATAATATCTAAATTGTTAGCATCAATAATACTCCGACACCTAACTAGTGCTCGTGAAGTGCAGACAACCACTCTAGTTTTCGACCTGGAAGTGGATGTATAGTTCAAATTTTCACACAATATCACGTCCTAAAACAAAGACACGTTCAGGCGTCCCAAAATAGTGGTATTTCTGGAACTTCAGGCAGCATTTGACTATGGCGATCGTAAGCAAATACAAAGGTAAGGATGGCAGATGAAGTAATGAATCTTCATCAGTTGAGGTGTTTGGGACATGTGTTGTGTATTCCTAACCACCGACTGCGGTGTAGAAATGGGTTGAAAGAAAGTTAGGGCGGCCAAAACGTGGCAGAAATCTATGAGGTCACTGACAAGTGGACTGAGTCATGTCGGTAGATGTAGGCTACCAGGTTGAGATCCACGACACGAAAGTAACCGATGGTTAGATACCTTGAATAACATGGCTCAAAGTTGTTTGCATTGGCGCACGTGCATCCACTCTTTGTGCTCTCTCAAATTCTAATCTGAAATCCTCATGACCGTTTTTTTTAATTTTTCTGTGGTCAACATCTCGGATAATAAATCCGATCATTATTGTTTTTGATTACTTCTAATAGTTTTACTACCTCTATTACTATGAGATTTGAATTAACAATTTCATTTCTCTGTTAATGCGGCAACGTGGACTGATACACGTACATACGAAGTTCCACATTGTATTTATTGACTGAAGTTAGCTGGTTCGTGGACTGCACCGCTGGTGAGTCGCACACCACGACGAAACGACCGTCCAGGTTCACTGTAACAAGAAGCAGTGTTTACAAGTCGAGGAAAATGAGCATGTTAGCATTCAGGTTCATACTAATGTTTTATAAAAGATATTAAGGAGGTTGGAAATTGTTAGTGCTTGTTGTTAATGAGCTCGGTTTTAGGAAAAAAATTAATACACGAGCTGTCTTTTTCTAGTGATCTCATCTATTATCTTCAGCCATTGAATATGATTATCGTGTAAACTACAAGAATTGGTGTAAATCATTTTTTGGAAACAGTAATCTGATAACTTACTTCGGGACTGTTGTAGGCATATCTCACACACATCCAAACATGTTTAATTTCACGGGAAAGATCTACCTACTCATACAATTTGTAAGTAGTATAGATCGTACTAGAAAATTAATTCTGACCTATTCACTTATCTTTGGTGTTCCTTTTATGTCGGCTTTTCAAAACCCTACCTGGATGGTGTACATGAAATGGCTCAAAATCGTTTTCGATGGCGTAGGTGCATCCACTCTCCTATTTCTCTCAAATTGTAATCATCTGAATTCCTCATGACCGGTTTTCCTGTTCTTTTAAAAGTTGATTCCTCTAGGATATACTTCTCGAATGGTACCCTTGATCACTAATCTTTTTGATTACCGCTAATACTTGTACTATCTCTGCTGCTATGGGATTTAAATTGACAATTTGATCTCGGTGTACTATGGCAACTTGAACTGATATATGTACGTATGAAGTTCTATGTTTCTAGCTGACCGACTGAATCAGTCACACGAATTTAAAAAAAATAACCTTTGCAAATCCAATTGAAAATGGCACTCATATTTTTTCCATAAGGCACTTAATGATCGTATATTTCCAAAACTCTTTTCTTCTATCTAGACATAGAATTTCATTGATGAATAGATTTCAAAAGAATATCAGCTAGTATATTTTATTCATGATTTCATTTCGTAAAACACCGATTAGTGACTAGTTCCGTCAGAAAATCTTTGGAGTTCCAGTGAGATGTGACCAGTGGATTTTATTCCTGTCTGGTGTAGGCATTAACTAACGAAGACAAATAGGTGAGGTCGTACATAATCCTTAGATTGATCAAAGTTAGACATCAACACTGTCGGATGCCAGCTCATTTAGTGGTCTAGATGTTAAGCGTTTGTGCACAATACCGAAGGTTGTGGGTTCGAGTCTTGCAAGTAACTGGAGTCGTGGATACACGCGCTGCTTTTGAGCCCCAGACCATGGTGAAACATTCGTTCAGTACTGTTATTAGGAAACGGGTGCTAGGTAAGAATGGCTGATCAATTGACGAAGTGCTGAAACTTCATCAGTTGAGGTAGTTGGGACATGTGCTGCGTATGCCTAACCACCGACTGCCTCGTCGAACTTTGTTTTGTAGTGTAGGAATAGGTTGGACGAAAGTTAGAGGTGGCCAGACCAAAACATGACACAAATCCATGAAGTCATTGACAGGTGGACTTAGCCATGTCGGTAATTATCGACTACCTGGTTGGGGTCCGCGAGATGATAATAATCGATGGTTAGAGACCTTGAATGACATGGCTCAAAACCGTTTGCAATGGCGCCGGGGCATTTATTCTCTATGTTCTCTCAAATCCTAATCTTCTGGATTCTTCGACCCCTCCAGTTTTGACTTTCTAAACTTATCTCATTGAATCATACTTCTTGAATAATATCTTCTAATCCTAACCTCTCCGATTACTTCTAATACCTTTACTACCTCTTCTACTATTGGATTTGAATTGACAATTACATCTCTGTGTGCTAATGTGGTATGGCAACATGAACTGATGTACTTACGTACAAAGTAGTTCCACGTTGCATCTGACTGACTGATTATAATTCAAAGATAAATACCCACTTAAAATAAGTAGTATACAACCAATTACATGAATTTTTTAAATTTATTTTATAGTTTAAATTTAAAAAAAAACTTGTTAACAAATGATGATTTTGTTTTAATTAAAAAAATTTTGTACATTTTATAAACATTCATCCACTTAATCACTGTTTTCTTTTTTTTAATTCTCGTAAAAAAATTACTTTCTCTTGCATGTTTCATTTTTGTTTTATGATTATCAAGATAACATCAAAAACATGATTTGTTCCCATAGAAATCGATTATTATTATTATTATTATTATTATTACTATTATTATTATTACTAGTAATTATCTATTACACTAATCACAGTATCATTTTACACGTGAAATACATGAATACATACATCAGTTCATGTGAATTGGTTGAATATGTGCAAAAAAGTGTATGTCTGGTTGTTCAACAATACAAATATGTGTATATATAAACCAATATGGACTCCACGACGCCATTATTATTGGGTTTAATAAAGCATGAAATGTATTTTTTTTGTGATAAGGAGAAAAAAAAATATAGTATCATAAATATTGTTTATGTAGGTGAGGGATTTGTGGAGATTGTATTGTTTTCGGTTGAAATTATGAACTGGCTTAAGCTAGACTACTATTGAGAAGACTGAGGTAGGTGCGGAAGATTGTATTGTGCAAATTTATACTCTTAGTCAATTAAAAACGAAAACATTACATTGAACACCCACTCTATTTGCACACCATCTTTGAATCGTGACTTCCAACGCTCCAGCCTTCTTCCGTTCCTGTTGTTGCTTCCTTTCCTTCCTCTGTTGGTACTCCATTTACTTGTTGCTTTCGCTCCATTTGCTTTCCGTTTTCCTCTTCTAACCGTGCGAATTCTTCTTTCACGTCCCTTCTTATACTACTTATATTGTTCGTATAAGTAGCACACATCACACTATAAGAAACCTGAAAACATTGGATGGTTTTTTTTATTTTAGTATGGGATTCATATGTAGTGAGTATCCATGACTTAGTGATTCAGAATCGAAATCATGCGTGAACTCCTAAGCTCTTTGCCACT